GAGGTATGGTGTAGTAGTATAGACTGGGGAATATAACAGTAAATTCTGTCAAGTATACCTGCCGCATTTGATACTTATTTAGAAATAGGCAGGATATGAGCACTCAGTTTTAAGTTATTATCTACGAGCAGGCCTAGACTTACCCTCATCCTTTTTCTCTTCTTTGGATTCATGAATTTCGATGTCTAATTGTTGGCAAGGTCTAGTCACAAGTCCTTTAGACTCCTTTTTACAATTTTAAGAGTAAATTATTCATTATCATCCCAAATGAACAATCGGTAATGGAGAGACTCCACTTACAGCTAGCCCTCCACTTTTGTGAGTTCCACTTTCACGAGCTTTGAACATTTGCGAATGCCCAGCCATAACATGTATATACAGTATTTTACAATGTTTTCATGTGTTTTATGATTGTTTGTGGTTCTATAGGTTAAGGAAGCATGGCTTACGGAGGAAGAATTCTGTTCCACTTCCTCATGGAGATAAGAAGAAATAAACAAGAACTAGAAAGAAAAAAAGAAGAAAACCCAAAGGGGTGTGTGTATATATATATGCTTGTACATGTATGTGTAGTGTGACCTAAGTGTAAGTAGAAGTAGCAAGGCATATCTGAAATCTTGCATGTTTACGAGACAGAAAAAAGACACCAGCAATCCTACCATCATGTAAAACAATTACAGGTTTCCGTTTTACACTCACTTGGCAGGACGGTAGTACCTCCCTGGGTGTGGAGTTAATAAAAGTATTAGTCAGAGGGCTGAAGAGGGGTTGTTGATGTGGTTTGGTCATTTAGAGAGAATGGATCAAAGTAGAATGACATGGAGAGCATTTAAATCCCTAGGAAAAGGAAGGCGAAGTAGGGGTCGTCCTCGAAAAGGTTGGAAGGAAGGGGTAAGGGAGGTTTTGTGGGCGAGGGGCTTGGACTTCCAGCAGGCGTGCACGAGCGTGTTTGATAGGAGTGAATGGAGACGTATGGTATTTGGGATCTGGCGATCTGTTGGAGTGTGAGCAGGGTAATATTTAGTGAAGGGATTCAGGGAAACCGGTTATTTTTATACAGCCGGACTTGAGTCCTGGAAATGGGAAGTACAATGCCTGCACTCTAAAGGAGGGGTTCGGGATATTAGCAGTTTGGAGGGATATGTTGTGCATCTTTATACGTATGTATATGCTTCTAAACTGTTGTGTTCTGAGCACCTCTGCAAAAACAGTGATGTGTGAGTGAGGTGAAAGTGTTGAATGATGATGAAAGTATTTTCTTTTTGGGGATTTTCTTTCTTTTTGGGTCACCCTGCCTCGGTGGGAGGTGGCCGACTTGTTGAAAAAAAATTATATATATAGTGGACCCTTGAATTTAGTCGTGCCTTTTCTGTATGCAAAACTATTTTTATCTATAAAATGTATGCACACACACACACGCACACACACACACACACACACACACACACACACACACACACACACACACACACACACACACACACACACACACACACACACACACAGGAGCTCGGACTCGACCCCCGCAACCTCAACTAGGTGAGTACACACACAGTGATTATGTGTGAGTGAGGTGAAAGTGTTGAATGATGAAAGCATTTTCTTTTTGGGTCACCCTGCCTCGGTGGGAGATGGCTGACTTGTTAAAATAAAAAAAAAAAAAAAAAAATTATATATATAATATAATATATATATATATATATATATATATATATATATATATTATATATATATATATATATATACACAGTGGACCCCCGGTTAACGAACTTTTTTCGTTCCAGTAGTATGTTCAGGTGCCAGTACTGACCGAATTTTTTCCCATAAGGAATATTGTGAAGTAGATTAGTCCATTTCAGACCCCCAAACATACACGTACAAACGCACTTACATAAATACACTTACATAATTGGACGCATTTGGAGGTGATCGTTAAGCAGGGGTCCACTGTATATACAGTGGACCCCCGCATAGCGAACTTAATCCGTGCAAGAGGGCTGGTCGTTATGCGAAATGTTCGCTATGCGAATTAATTTTCCCCATAAGAAATAATGGAAATAAAATTAATCCGTGCAAGACACCCAAAAGTATGAAAAAAAATTTTTTTTACCACAAAAAAATGTTAATTTTAGTACACACAAACTGAAAAAGGCATGCACAATTACATGACACTTACTTTTATTGAAGATCTGGTGATGATTGATGGGATGGGAGGAGGGGAGAGCATTATCTTCTTACTGTTTAGAAGGGGAATCCCCTTCCATTAGGACTTGAGGTAGCAAGTCCTTTTCTGGGGTTACTTCCCTTCTTCTTTTAATGCCACTAGGACCAGCTTGAGAGTCACTGGACCTCTGTCGCACAACAAATCTGTCCATAGAGCTCTGTACCTCCCGTTCCTTCAAGACTTTCCTAAAATGGGCCATAACATTGTCATTGAAATAGTCACCAGCACGGCTTGCAACAGCTGTGTCAGGGTGATTTTCATCCATAAAGGTTTGCAGTTCAACCCACTGTGCACACATTTCCTTAATTTTTGAAGTAGGCACAATGGATTCCACAACTGGCATAGGCTTCTCAGGGTTAGCCCCAAACCCTTCAAAATCTTTCTTAATTTCCATACTAATTCTCACCCTTTTTACCACAGGGTTGGCACTAGAAGCTTTCTTGGGGCCCATGGTCACTTATTTTCCAGAAACAGCACCGAAAACACTGTAATAATACGAAATATTCCGAGTGTATGCTTGAATGTTACCGCGGAGGCTGGCTGGTAAACAATGGGACGGGCGGCACATGTGAGGCTGGCTGAGGCCGCACATTGGACGCGTCTCGGACGAAGGTCGCTGAGCGGGTTTTTGTCCACTATGCGGGGCAAAATTTTAGCGAACAAAGCGTTCGCTATGCGGATTGTTCGCTATGCAAGGCGTTCGCTATGCGGGGGTCCACTGTATATATATATATATACATATACATACAGTGGACCCCCGGTTAACGATATTTTTTCACTCCAGAAGTATGTTCAGCTGCCAGTACTGACCGAATTTGTTCCCATGAGAAATATTGTGAAGTAGATTAGTCCATTTCAGACCCCCAAACATACACGTACAAACGCACTTACATAAATACACTTACATAATTGGTCACATTTGGAGGTAATCGTTATGCGGGGGTCCACTGTATATACACAGTGGACCCCCGGTTTACGATATTATTTCATTCCAGAAGTATGTTCAGGTGCTAGTACTGAATGAATTTGGTCCCATAAGGAATATTGTGAATTAGATTAGTCTATTTCAGACCCCCAAACATACACGTACAAACGCACTTACATAAATACACTTACATAATTGGCCGCATTGGGAGCTGATCGTAAAGCGGGGGTCCACTGTGATATATATATAATAATATATATTATATATATATATATATATATATATATATATATATATATATATATATATATATATATTATATATTATAACCATAATTATTATTATAATAATCAAGACAGTGCTAAATCAACAAGGGTCATACAGCACTGCAGACTAACCATAAAAAAAATTTTTTGCGTGTTTTAAAAAGTGTTTTAAATGTTATTTTAGCCCTTTCAGGGTCCGTCCCGTAGATCTACGGCTTTACGTTCAGGGTCCAAACCATAGATCTATGCCATAAGCTCAGCTCACTCTGATGAGCTGTGAGTGGTAAATTTGGGCCTAGATATGAGAGAATACATCTATGTGGTATGTGCACACCACATAATACAAATCCTGCAGCACACAGTGTATAATGAGAGGAAAAAAACCGAGACTGTGATTTTTTATTAAAACAGCGACTTTGCAGTGTTTTTTCGTATGTTTTTTATAGTTGTATTTGCGATTTCTTGGCCTCATTTGATAGAATGAAGACATATTACAGAAATGGAGATGATTTTGATTGGTTTTAGTACTGGAAATGGCTTGAAACTGAGCTCAAAGTAGCGGAAATGTTAAATTTTTGTCGATGTTCAAGAGTAAACAAACGACCTCACACGTCCAATACATGCCAGCTGGTGGGTCTAATATACATCCACAAATGTGATGATGATATTTATACAGTTTTTACAATATTGCATAACAGTAAATCTTCTAATTTTTGGTGTGAATAAAAATTCATTATGTGAATAAAAAATCAAAGTGGAATTCATTTGTAAAGCCTCAAAACATAACTAATGAGCAGAGGAAATGTTAGTTTAGTTCCAGGAATGCCTGCATTGATTATCCTGGACCCTATTTTGAAATTGGAATATTTTGAACTTTGTGTTAAATTGGCCAAATTACCAATTTCCGATCACTTTATTTTGTAGTTGAAACAGTTAACTGGGCAATTTCTTGTGCTCAATCGATAGAAGTAATACAGTGGACCCCCGCATAACGATTACCTCCGAATGTGACCAATTATGTAAGTGTATTTATGTAAGTGCGTTTGTATGTGTATGTTTGGGGGTCTGAAATGGACTAATCTACTTCACAATATTTCTTATGGGAACAAATTGGGTCAGTACTGGCACCTGAACATACTTCTGGAGTGAAAAAATATCGTTAACCGGGGGTCCACTGTACTAGTGAAATAGCTAAGAATTTGGTCAACTGGAATAATGTAATTGCCCTAAAATGGGAGTCAAAGTCGGCAAAATCGCCGATTCATAGATATCGCCAATTCGTAAATATCGCCGACACATCAAAATTCGCGAGAGCATAATTTCGCCAATTTTCCATCAAATTTCGTACTTTTTGTTTTATTACCTTCAGAAAAATATTCTCTACCATTTCATAAGAAAAAATAAAAATTTTTTTTTTTAAATTCTTGGACACTTTCGTACCCTCTGAAACCTCTGGACCCTGAAAGGGTTAATATTGGGTTTTTATGTGGGGAGTGAAGGTACCAGGAGTGAGACTGACCAGGAGTTATGTTACAGGGGAGGAAATTGCTTTTCACCTCTGTAAACCAAGAGGTATGGCACTTACCTTGGTATCCTTTGCATAGTATAACTTGTGTCCCTTGAGCTTAAAATATCTTTTACGCCATCGCTGAAATGATGACGTCTGTTTCATTAGAAACCCTTCCTTAATAGAAACCTGTAATGAATAATTAATCAGAGTTAAAATAATACTACATAACTCCTTTGACCATATGGTAATATACTGTACATATAAAACTTTATTTAACTGAATCTTTTATTTGATTGTTTGTCAATTAGGGTTAAATCAAACTTATTGAATGTAACATTAAATACTATAGCTATACCATTAACTCGCTAAAATACAGAATAGTGTATGTAATGTGCATTATATATACCGTAATAAAAATAGCCATTTCCAGATTAAAGTTCCGCTAGATAGGCACAACACTTGCCTACCGAGGCATGCAAGACTGTCTAGCTCTTACACAATGCCATGTCGATTACCTCGCTCATCATGGTACTCTGCTCTAACAAAAAATCTGAAAAACAAACTACAATTTATTAAAAATAATATTAAGGTTCATCCTGGATATGAATGCAAGCAATCTACTGAAAGTCTGTAGAACAAAAACATTTAAATCACGAGTCCCCCCCACACACAAAAAAATTCCAACAACTTTTTCCAAAATTACAATGCCTTAAATTTTGATATGGTTAACAATAAAAATAAAAATGATACTAGAGAAACTAAGCTGTCTAGTACTATATCCAGTACAGTACAGTATATACAGCAAGGTCTCAAACACCTACTAAACAGCTATAAATTACTGGAATACATTAATCATTTTAATATTAGTAATAAAATTAATCAGTCAAAATCGAATCTAATACAGAAGCAAAAATTACTTTTTGTATTTTTTTTTTTACATAATGCCCTGCTCAGAATAGCCAGCATATAATATAGAACAATGGAAACCATTTGTATGTACAACACTGGTATGATATTTACCTAAATAAACATACAGTACAGTACAGTGGGGTGTGCTATAACGAACAGTTTATATAATGAATATTTACCTAACAAACTGTGTTTCCTTATAAAATTGAAAAATTAGTTTCAAGGAAAGCCACATTATTCCAGCCAAAGATAACAAGGATGTATTCTGGTGGTGGAATCTCTCTCTAAACTTGTGAGGGATTATCATCCTGATGTTGGTGCTGTGGAAATGGGCCTTAGTAATTTTAATGACACCGATGGCCCACTTTTGGAAGATCCAGAAATCCAGGTTGAAGCAGTCAACCCTGGATTCCTTCTTTAAAAAAGTTCAAAAAGATCCTACAGAGGAACTGCCTGTAGGACAGCCACCAAAGAGGACTAGGTAGGATGACTCCACTCCTTCTGCCTTTTCTCAGTACAGGCACTCACTCACTTGATGACCTACCAGTTTAACAACTGCTCCGACTTAAAACCAGCTCTCCAACCAGTATGCAAACATAAGTAATATTTATGAGAGCTGATTTCCTCTATTCTGTTTGTTACAAGACACAGTGGGACCTCGGTATACAACCAGTTCCACACTCGAACAAAGCTCAGCACTCAACCAAACAAATACGACGTGCCAGAACTTCGCTGTAAACTATTTCGTGTTTCTTCGCATTTTTTAGTATTTTTTTGTATTTTTTTTTTATAAACAAGTCACCATGGGGGCTACAACAGTTAGTGATAACAGCCAACCAAACAGAAAATTGTTTGGGAAGAATTTGTTCGATACTCAAACGGAGCGGCACTTTAATAGCCTTCTGGAATGAATTAAGGTCGCACACCGAGGTTCCATTGTACAGTACACCACTACTGTATAAATATTTAAAGGTATACAAAAAATGTTATGAATAATGCAAAGGTGACAGTAATATAATATCTAAAGATGGTTGACACAAACCCACTACCAGTACAGTACACTCCTCGCTTATCGACCAATTTACTTAACAACCTAGTCACAGGAACGGAACTCGGTCGTTAAGTGAGAAATGCCTGTAATTCTCTCCTCCCCTGCCTCCTGTCATGCATGCTGAACAACAATAATGAGGGATAAAGTAAAATATTTTTTATTTTTTTTTGTACAATTTATTATTTTATTACAATAATATTTATTTCAGGAGTTAAAATGCATATTTATCCACCTTTTTTGCAATTTTATACTATATTTTTCATTGCTAAGTGGTTGTATTTGGAGGCTTCAAACAGATTACCCCTATAATGAACGAATGCCATAACGAACGAGGTTCTAGACCCAACTGAATTCGTTATAGCATATCCCCACTGTACATCCACTCTTATGGGGTTGGGAGGTACTCGCTTGTAATTTTTTTGGTAGTATAGGAAAAGAAGTTAAATACTGATTATTCTAACTACAATCAATAACAAAAATTAATATATATTAAACATAGCATTTCCAAGCAAATGTGCAGTACTGTATTTTAAACAGAAATAAACTTTAAACAGTTACAGAGTCAAACTTACAGCCAGGACTAACATTAATTGAAAAAAATTAAAAAAAAAAAAAAAAAAAGTTTTTGTTTTAAAATCATAAACATGGTTGTTTACTAACTGTTTAAAAAGACAACCTGGTGTATATGTCATAATTTAAGATAACTTGATATACTATTGTAACATGGTTATGGTCACTGCTATTCAAATTTAATGTCTATAAACAGATATAGCAATAACAGATACAAGTCAGGACACGTTAGTAAGGTCATATTCTGGATTTGTTGTTAGAGCAGAGTACCACTGTAAAAAATAAATGTGGCACAATATCATGGCTGGAATACACAAATAAACAGCACATAGGAGAATGAAACTTATGACGATGTTTTAGTATGACGTTGTCAAGTTTCATTCTCCTACTTGTGGATTATTTGTGTACCACTGTAAATAAATAATCTTCAAGCAATAGGATTTATACAATTCATATGCTATCATAACTCTTAATATCAAGATTATTACATTCATGGGAAGTGCCAAACTTGTAAAGGTAGTCAGTGCATGGGAAATGGGAGAAATAGAGGGATAATAACAAAAAAATGAGCAATCTTGGAGCTCTGGATGTAGTGCAACAATTAAAAAGCCTTACTGCAGGTAATTCTTCCAGGGTTAATAACCCTGGAAGAATTATCTGGATAACTCAAGAAAGTCAAACAGTATGGCTTAGTTTGGTTAGGGGCCTTTTAAATCTCCTTCACTAGGATGTGACCCACAAGAGCTGATAAGATCTGTTTGGATTTTTAACTTGGAGGGTTAGCCACCCAGGACAACTCAAAGTCAGTGCATCACTGAGGACTGTCTTATTTCTATTGAGGTTCTTTAATCTCTCCCCCCCCCCCCAGGATGCAACCCATCACAGTCATCTAACACCAAGTACCTACTTACTGCTAGGTGAACAGGGACAGCAGGTGCACAAACTATGTCTTTCTGCAGTATACAAAATGTAGAGTATATATAATAAAATATTGTTAAGCACAAAAAAAGCCACTAGGCCAATGTTTCCACCAATACTGGGGACTGAACTATGAACACTCAATATGAGAGGTGAGCGCTGCTAAACGAGCCATGGGATGCCAAAGAATATACATTCACTGCTAATTGGACAGAAGCAGTAGTTTTAAAGACATTTACCTATACATCTTGCCTCACCTGGGGTGAGATATCTGGTCTTGGCAGTCTGGCAGGACCAGACATACATTTTTGTCATTCACTTGACAATTCTAATAAATATTGACTATAATCTAAACAAATAGTTTATTACTCAGTGAAGAGTCTGAATTAGTAACCTGATAATTTATAACCCACAATAACCCAAGAAAGCCAAGCAATACAACTTATTTCCACTCAAAGTTCTTTTATAGACCCTCCCAGGATGCTACTTGCAGAAGTCAACTAACTCCTAAGTATTTACTAAGTAAAAAGGGGCAGCAGGTGTCAGATTTATCCATACATCCAACTTTACTTAGGGTTCCATCCAGGTATTATCAATTGTTTGCTAGTTGTATTTTATTTTTATTTAATTTAATAATATTATTAGTAATTTTATGTAATGTATGCACTGATATATACCAACAGTGTTACTGGGTGATAAATAAGAGAAAGTTGTACTAATTCTGTAAGTACCATTTAATTATTGCTTGTATAAAAGCCATGAAGATTATTATTATAATCAAAAAGAAGCGCTAAACCACAAGGGTTATACAGCAAGTCACTGAAGAGAATTGACAAATATTTGACAGGTTGACATCCAAAGGAATATTCTTTATATTTGCTGTGTTTCAGGCCACCAACACTGTCTACTAAAATAAACTTACAGGCAGCATGCTCTGGTTATTAATTTATATTATACTACTGAAATACAATGAGAAATAATTCCATTAATTTAAGCAGTGTTCAGAACATGTTCAGTTTGCGACACTTTAACTCGTGAATATTACAGTACCAGCCTACTGCCTCCTCTTATACTGCCTCAATCACTGAATTACTATCCTGTCTTATGACTATTGCAGCTCTTCTTGCTGATAACTTATTCTCTGGTATATATACTTGCTTAAATAATGCCCCATAAAGACCAGAGATGAGAGTAACCTAACACACCCATAATAACGCCCTTTAAGCCCTACTTACACTACATTTTATCTCTTTATTAGTGGATATTCTCCTGTGGAAAGACTTTGCAGGTTCGGTCTCAGCTTCACTCTCAGAAGACTCAGCCTCAGTGTAAGGTCCTGTAGGTTTCCCCGCCACACTGACATGCAGGTCACCTCCCCCCGTCGCCATATTTACACTGGCAGTCCTGGCCAGGTTTCACTGACGCCTCTGGCAGCTACTGAAGGAAACCCCGGGGATTTCCATTTATTTCTGAGCTTCTTACTCCCAAGTATCTCCTCTCTTGCTTCTATCTACCTATTGTTCCTACGTTTATGTAGATGGCTGCTTATTTCGCACAACTATATGCTAAGTCTGTAACTGTTAAATGACCCGGGTTCAATACCCTGACCTGTAGTACAGATGGGTCCATTCTATTACATCTACTTGTCCTGTTCACATGGACGTTTATTTTGTCACAACTAGATGCCTGGCTCTTAGGGTAGCATAGTCTGGAATAAGCCGTAGGTGTTCTCTCAGATTTTGATTCTCCAGGGAAAAATTTAAGTGTCCTCCACCATGGACACTATACATGCTTGGTAGGTAAGACACCTAGGTAATATTTAGGTAACTTTATTCCGAAACGTTCCGCCTACACCCTACACAGTAGGCTTCTTCAGTCGAGTACAGAAAGTAAGCAGGAGCAGTAGAGACGTGTAGACGAAGTAATCAGTCCCTAATCACTATCCTCATCACTACTGCGCCTCACCATACTTACCAATATAATCTTCATTATTTTTAAAGCACTTAAGCTACACTATTCACACAATCAAACTCTAATATATATTTATTATTACTATCACCTCAACTAAATCAGTCCTTTTACTTAAAAAAAATAATAATATTACCTTCTTTAAAACTTAAAAAAAATAAACTTTTTAATTCGTGAAAATATCCTCATATACTTGGTGGTCTTCTTCAGTGGATGTAGTTGTTCTTGATCACTACGAGTGATGGCGTCCCTGAAGGTCGTGAACGATTGGTTCAGTGAAGGAGAGCTTCTAGGTCGATATTATACTCTGTTTCCCAGTCCAAGATATCCTGTACAGACTCTGGCTTTGTCTCCAAGTAGGCAGGTGGAGTAGTTTCTTGATGATTTGATAACTCAAGGTAGAATATTGATCCTGGGTTTGATAACTCAAGGTAGAATCTTGATCCTGGGTTTCATAACTCAAGGTAGAATCTTGATCCTGGGTTTCATAATTCAAGGTAGAATCTTGATCCTGGGTTTGATAACTCAAGGTAGAATCTTGATCCTGGGTTTCATAACTCAAGGTAGAATCTTGATCCTGGGTTTGATAACTCAAGGTAGAAACTTGATCCTGGGTTTGATAACTCAAGATAGAATCTTGATCCTGGGTTTGATAACTCAAGGTAGAATCTTGATCCTGGGTTTCATAACTCAAGGTAGAATCTTGATCCTGGGTTTCATAATTCAAGGTAGACTCTTGATCCTGGGTTTGATAACTCAAGGTAGAATCTTGATCCTGGGTTTCATAACTCAATATAGAATCTTAATCCTGGGTTTGATAACTCAAGGTAGAATCTTGATCCTGGGTTTCATAACTCAAGGTAGAATCTTGATCCTGGGTTTCATAACTCAAGGTAGAATCTTAATCCTGGGTTTGATAACTCAAGGTAGAATCTTGATCCTGGGTTTCATAACTCAAGGTAGAATCTTGATCCTGGGTTTCATAACTCAAGGTAGAATCTTGATCCTGGGTTTCATAATTCAAGGTAGACTCTTGATCCTGGGTTTGATAACTCAAAGTAGAATCTTGATCCTGGGTTTCATAACTCAATGTAGAATCTTAATCCTGGGTTTGATAACTCAAGGTAGAATCTTAATCCTGGGTTTCATAACTCAAGGTAGAATCTTGATCCTGGGTTTCATAACTCAATGTAGAATCTTAATCCTGGGTTTGATAACTCAAGGTAGAATCTTGATCCTGGGTTTCATAACTCAAGGTAGAATCTTGATCCTGGGTTTCATAACTCAAGGTAGAATCTTAATCCTGGGTTTGATAACTCAAGGTAGAATCTTGATCCTGGGTTTCATAACTCAAGGTAGAATCTTGATCCTGGGTTTCATAACTCAAGGTAGAATCTTGATCCTGGGTTTCATAACTCAATGTAGAATCTTAATCCTGGGTTTGATAACTCAAGGTAGAATCTTGATCCTGGGTTTCATAACTCAAGGTAGAATCTTGAACCTGGGTTTGATAACTCAAGGTAGAATCTTGATCCTGGGTTTCATAACTCAATGTAGAATCTTAATCCTGGGTTTGATAACTCAATGTAGAATCTTAATCCTGGGTTTCATAACTCAATGTAGAATCTTAATCCTGGGTTTCATAACTCAATGTAGAATCTTAATCCTGGGTTTCATAACTCAAGGTAGAATCTTGATCCTGGGTTTCATAACGTTTTTAGTTTAATATGTTTATTATGCACCCCATACCCATCCTGTGGGCGGTAGTCAAAAGATTACAGAGGTACATAATTGGTCCAGGGACTGGACTCCAAAGTTTTGTAGATGAGCAAGTTACAAAGGTAATGAACTAGATCTGGTCATAATCATGACCAAGTTACAAAGGTAATGAGCTCCAGGTTGAGCTGGTCACACTCATGAATAATTGCAAAGGTAATGAATCATAAACACATTAATCATGAGAATTTACAAAGGTAATGAGCTCCAGGTAGAGCTGGTCACAATCATGACAAGTTTCAAAGGTAATGAATGATAAACACGTTATGACATGATTACAATCATAGACAAATTACAGAGTAATGAGCAGTTAACAAACATAGTAGGGAATTCATCCAATGCCCCAACAACTCAAGGTAGAATCTTGATCCTGCGTTTGACAGCTCACCATTCTCTGATGTTTTTGTCTTGCATGATGTATCCACGAATTTCTTTTAGACGACTTTTATCATCTTTAATTTTCATCTTGTAAAGTTTGGGTTTTAATGTTCTATCTACGGCGAGGCCGAGGTCAATAAGATGGGCTACGTAATCCTGGCCTTGTTTTCTAATCATTATATTTGATTCTGTTATGTCATTATGGGCAAAACCGGTCTGGTGAAAATCCATTAATGCTCTTATAGCAGCTTTATATGCCTTAAAGCAATCTTCAGCGGAATTTTTTCCTATAAATTTTGCGAAAGTTACTCCGGGGCAGCGGGACATGACAATAGCTAAAGGATTGTACATCATGCCATAAAGTTTGGGAGCTCCACCGGCGCCATCAACCTTGAGAAGAGCTCTGGCTTCCTTAACAGCTTCTTTCAGATAAACGTCGTCGAAGAGCTTCTTGACGACGACCTTGGTAGTGGAGCCATCATCTTGTTTTAAGAGAGCTGCCCATGCCTCTCCATATGCCCCTCTACCAAGTTTTGTCTTCATGTCAAGGCTGCTCCAGGATAACACGGGGATAACAGTATCGCTAGAGGTGTCTCCACCTGTTTTTGCTTCACTGTCTGGGGGACAGCAATGCTTCCATGGTTCGGTACTCTTCTCCTGGAGGACATTCTCATCCAATTTTGGCTTTTTGGAAGGTGCAGTGAGAGGGGAAGTTGTGGAGCGAGGTCTCTTCATGCGACCAGACAGTTCTTGTCCATTGGCAGCCATAGCGAAGTGATCGAAGTCTTCTTTAAGTCCTTCCACTTTTGTCATCGAGAAAACCTTTTCTTTCTCCTAGAAAAATACGCTTAAGGTACTAGGAAAAAGCCGCGAGATTGTTAATATAGTTACTCTGACGAGACTCGTACCTTAAATTTGTAGACGGTACGACCAGTATTATAGTTAAGTTAGATGATACCAATAATATACTAAATATACGGTATACCAGCACTTAATATACGGGTTGACCAATAATATAGTTAAGTTACAGAATACCAATAATATGCTTAATAGACGGGAAAATCAATAATATAGTTAATTTACGGAATTCCAGTAATAGTCTTAATATATGGGTTGACCAATAATATAGTTAAGTTATAAGATGACCAGTAATGTAGTTGATATATGGGATACCAATTTTAAAATTAATGGATGGGATACCAGTAATATAATTAATATATATGATGACCAATAATATAGTTGATAACAGGTCAGTCACACATTGTAAACTTTGCAAAGAATAAAAAATTGAATTTGAGCTGGAGTCTCAAATAAGATGTAAGTTTCAGTGACCTTCAAAACTCCCAACAACAATAACAACCGTCATGAAAAAATTACTGCAAGTATCGTGAAGTAGATGATTATTATTATTACTACAATCAAAACTAAACCCTAAACCCACAAGGGTCATACAGTGCTGTATCGTCAAGTAGAGGAAAGTTATTTATCCGGAGGAGAAGAAATAACTAAAAGCTGACACACTGTACTCGGACCAGATTTTACAATACAAATACAAATTTTATTTCTTTGTAAAGGTACAGTGTTAAACTAGCTACTGACTCGGGTAGAGATGTTGATGCCTTGATCAGCTTACGTAAAGGACATCAGCTGATATAATTGGGCATTTCTAGTTCCTGTTTTCAGAGGACACGCCTGATCATTTTCCTTTCATCGCTCAGCTTTGGAAAGATAACTTCCCGGACACCGAGAAAAAGAGCTCAACACCGGTTGAGGTGTTTGTGACCGTCTTAACTCCCTCAACAGGTTACGGCAACGGCTGTCAGTGGCCCTTTAAACCCAACAAAAACAAAAATAACGTTTTCCATTCAGTTTGGATCACACTTCTGCGCCAGCCTTCGTAAAGAGTAGATGTCTCGCTCTACCTCTGCCTGGAGCATCTCTTAGGAATTTCAATTATTTTCTTCCCGGAAAGCTTGTCCTCATCATAAGCAACTGGGCAATTGGTCGGGACGATACGAATAACCTTCGGAGAAATCTGTTGTTGTTGACTCAGCCAGAGACAAGGTATGGACGTCTGGCTTTATCAGGGTTTAACCATGGGGGTCCACCTGACCTAATTTCGAATATATTTTTCATATTTTTGAGGAAACTTGTCTAACCTCAGTGAAAATAAGTCACATTGTCTGACTTTTTTGGGTTATCCTAGGTACTTTGTACATATGCTGCTATGCATGATAATCAATGTAACTGCATTCATGTATACCTGAATAAACTTACTAACTTAATATATGTTATTGTAAACTTGTTATCTAGTATTTGTATGCATTTATAAGTGGAAAAAACAGATGTTCTACTTTACGGTGATTTCCGCTTTACGGCGGTAGCCTGGAACCTAACCTGCCGTATAAGTGGGGCCCCACTGTACGTGTACAGACCTAGCTGACATTCAGTATAGAAAGCACCTTGTTATGCAGAGCATTTCAGGCAAATTAGGTCAATTATGTCGCCAGGATGTGACCCACACCAGTCCACTCACACCCAGGTACCTGCTTACTCACTATACATCACTACCATACACATCACAATGTCACTATACAACACTACCATACACGTCACCATACAATACTACCATACACGTCACCATACAACACTACCATACATGTCACCATACAACACTACCATACACATCACCATACAATACTACCATACACGTCACCATACAACACTACCATACACGTCACAATACATCACTACCATACACGTCACCATACAACACTACCATACACGTCACCATACAACACTACCATACACGTCGCAATACATCACTACCATACACGTCGCAATACATCACTACCATACACGTCACCATACAACACTACCATACACGTCACCATACAACACTACCATACACGTCACCATACAACACTACCATACACGTCACCATACAACACTACCATACAACACTACCATACACGTCACCATACAATACTACCATACACGTCACCATACAACGCTGCCATACATGACGCAATATCACCATACAACAGTACCATACACGTCACCATACAACACTGCCATACATGATGCAATGTCACCATACAACAATACCATACACGTCACCATACCCACCAGTCTTCATTTAATATCCTCTCCATAATTGTCACTACCATCTTCAGTAACCTTATATATTATATATATATATATATATATATATATATATATATATATATATATATATATATATATATATATATATATATATATATATATATTGGTAAGATCTTCATAATAATGTTTGTCTTGTACTCATCATTATTACCTTTAAGTCGTAGACTTCAGGTTGTCAGTCCCTGAGCCTGGACAAGAGTTCTGTTCTATCACGAAGACAAAGTTTAAGACATTAAAAGGACCCAGGATCAATGCCCAACAGAGCCGATATGTCTTAGGTAATTTACACATACTAATGTCACTATGATAATTGTACTTATGTGTACCTGTACTTATACAAGTTAATAGGAGTCTCGTTACACCTACTCCCCCTAAGTAGGAACTTTCATGTGACCTTGTTACTAGCATAACTATGACACCTTAATAATTTGTGTATATCTGTGCCTAACTTCATATACTGCACTATGTTCAACAACTTAATAAGGAAATTGTAAAAATATTAGTGGTAATCAGATATCAACTTTTTGTATATTATATTCCTTACTGTACTGTGTACAACATTTATATGAAGTAATTGTAATATACGAAATGATTAATATTCCTCTCTAGTGATGTAACAATAAACTATGGACATCCTCTTCACTACTAAACAAATGAGATGGACTCTTCCCACTATATATACAAAAGAACATTACTTAAGCCTTAACCTAATTCCTCCGCAATGGATAATTAAATAACATCAATAACACAGTATTTTCACCTGACAGAGACGAGAGGAACATTAAGTCTGTTATCACAGACATCCATCACTTCTTGGACAGCTAGGAACACTTTAGGACAGCTAGGAACACTACTAGGACAGCTAGGAACACTACTAGGACAGCTAAGAACACTGCTGGGACAGCTAGGAACACTACTAGGACAGCTAGGAACACTGCTAGGACAGCTAGGAACACTACTAGGACAGCTAGGAACTGCTAGGACAGCTAGAAACACTTTAGGACAGCTAGGAACACTACTAGGACAGCTAGGAACACTACTAGGACAGCTAAGAACACTGCTGGGACAGCTAGGAACACTTTAGGACAGCTAGGAATACTACTAGGACAGCTAGGAACACTACTAGGACAGCTAAGAACACTGCTGGGACAGCTAGGAACACTACTAGGACAGCAGGAACACTGCTAGGACAGCTAGGAACACTGCTAGGACAGCTAGCAACACTGCTAGGACAGCTAGGAACACTACTAGGACAGCTAGGAACGCTTCAAGGACAGCTAGGAACCCAGACATCCAACACTTCTAGGACAGCTAGGAACACTTCTAGGACAGCTAGGAACACTGCTAGGACAGCTAGGAACACTACTAGGACAGCTAGGAACACTACTAGGACAGCTAAGAACACTGCTAGGACAGCTAGGAGCACTACTAGGACAGCAGGAACACTACTAGGACAGCAGGAACACTAATAGGACAGCTAGGAACACTACTAGGACAGCTAGGAACACTGCTAGGACAGCTAAGAACACTACTAGGACAGCTAGAAACACTACTAGGACAGCTAAGAACTACTAGAACAGCTAGGAACACTTCTAGGACAGCTAGAGACACTACTAGGAGAGCTAGGAATACCACTGGGACAGCTAGGAACCCAGACATCCAACACTTCTAGGACAACTAGGAACACTTCTAGGATAGCTAGGAACACTACTAGGACAGCTAGGAACACTACTAGGACAGCTAGGAACACTACTAGGACAGCTAGGAACACTACTATTACAGCTAGGAACACCACTAGGATAGGAACCCAGACATCCAACACTTCTAGGACAGCTAGGAACACTACTAGGACAGCTAGGAACCCAGACATCCAACACTTCTAGGACAGCTAGGAACACTTCTAGGACAGCTAGGAACACTACTAGGACAGCTAGGAACACTACTAGGACAGCTAGGAACCCAGACATCCAACACTTATAGGACAGCTAGGAACACTACTAGGACAGCTAGGAACCCAGACATCCAACATTTCTAGGACAGCTAGGAACACTTCTAGGACAGCTAGGAACACTACTAGGACAGCTAGGAACACTACTAGAACAGCAAGGCACCCAGACATCCAACACTTCTAGGACAACTAGGAACACTTCTAGGATAGCTAGGAACACTACTAGGACAGCTAGGAACACTACTAGGACAGCTAGGAACACTACTAGGACAGCTAGGAACACTACTGGGGCAGCTAGGTACACTACTATGACAGCTAGGAACACTACTAGGACAGCTAGGAACAGTACTGGGACAGCTAGGAACACTACTAGGACAGCTAGGAACCCAGACATCCAACACTTCTTGGACAACAATGAATACTTCTAGGACAGCTAGGAACACTACTAGGACAGCTAGGAACACTACTAGGACAGCTACGAACACTACTAGGGCAGCTAGGAACACACACTACTAGGACAGCTAGGAACACGACTGAGACAGCTAGAAACACTACTAGGACAGCTAGGAACACTACTAGGGCAGCTAGGAACACTACTAGGACAGCTAGGTACACTACTGAGACAGCTAGGAACACTACTAGGACAGCTAGGTACACTATTGAGACAGCTAGGAACACTACTAGGACAGCTAGAAACAACACAACTAGAAATTCCAGCTAGGAACACTACTAGGAACACTACTAGGACAGCTAGAAACACTACTGAGACAGCTAGGAACACTACTAGGACAGCTAGGAACACTACTAGGGCAGCTAGGAACACTACTAGGGCAGCTAGGAACACACACTACTAGGACAGCTAGGAACACGACTGAGACAGCTAGAAACACTACTAGGACAGCTAGGAACACTACTAGGGCAGCTAGGAACACTACTAGGACAGCTAGGTACACTACTGAGACAGCTAGGAACACTACTAGGACAGCTAGGTACACTATTGAGACAGCTAGGAACACTACTAGGACAGCTAGAAACAACACAACTAGAAATTCCACATCATAATTCATATAAACGACATGTGTCATGGAGTTCTTTTTTCAGAGCCCGTTAAGGGTTCTCTAAAATAACTTTAGAATGTTTGAATATGTACCGAATCAACCCGAACTTTAATTGTGGAAGAAGTAAGACTTGTTTTCGTTTACAGAAGAAAAATGAGAAAAAGAACTTGGGTGTTGTTGTGGATGGCATATAAAATACTTTCTTACAACACACGGCAGCAGCCATAATGCTTATCCTTGTGGGACCCCACTCGCTACTTTTCCCCATTATGATGGCTCATTCTTTACTCTTACTCCTTGAATTCTTTCATTCAAGTACCCCTTGACCATTGGAGTATATTTCCTTTTAACTCTTTTTTTTTTTTTTTTTTAATTTTGGATTAATCTTGAGCCCCATATTTCTTCACCTTTTGGTTGGCAGAACCTTGATTCTCCATGCATCCAGGTATCTTTATTTAGCTCCCTAGGTTGGAGGAGTTACAGGAGCGACCCCAATGGAAATCAGTCACTTTGTCTGACTTTTCTGAGTTATCCTAGGTTGAGCAAGAGTGTCCATCTGACCTAATTAGAAATATCTTGTTTCTGCTTCTTTTGCAAAGAGAAATCCTATGTCATTACTCTGTATTACTCAGCTTTGGGGATTTCTGTGCTGGCATTGGCCGTATGTAAGCGTCTTTCTCTTGCCTGGAATCTGTAACAAATTTTCCCTGTTCTCTCAGGGACGCTCATCCTCAGCTCACACAGAGGGTCCGGGATTGATCCCTGACATGGATGATACGTTGATTTCGTGAGCCATGTTTGTTTACACCTGCTGTCCCTGTTCACCTAGCAATAGGTTCTAGGTACCTGGGTGTTAGTCACCTTACACCTACTGTCCCTGTTCACCTAGCAATAGGTACTAGGTACCTGGGTGTTAGTCACCTTACACCTACTGTCCCTGTTCACCTAGTAATAGGTACTAGGTACCTGGGTGTTAGTCACCTTACACCTGCTGTCCCTGTTCACCTAGTAATAGGTACTAGGTACCTGGGTGTTAGTCACCTTACACCTGCTGTCCTTGTTCACCTAGTAATAGGTACTAGGTACCTGGGTGTTAGTCACCTTACACCTACTGTCCCTGTTCACCTAGTAATAGGCACTAGGTACCTGGGTGTTAGTCACCTTACACCTGCTGTCCCTGTTCACCTAGTAATAGGTACTAGGTACCTGGGTGTTAGTCACCTTACACCTGCTGTCCCTGTTCACCTAGTAATAGGTACTAGGTACCTGGGTGTTGGTCACCTTACACCTACTATCCCTGTTCACCTAGTAATAGGCACTAGGTACCTGGGTGTTAGTCACCTTACACCTGCTGTCCCTGTTCATCTAGGAGTAAGTAGGTACTTGTATATTGTTGTGGGTCGCATCCTGGGACACAAGATTACCCTAGGTTGCCAGAAATGTTGTGAACTATGGGCTTTCTATATATAATGCCAATGATGTTGACTAGGTCTGCAATAGTTGTATTATGTACCTGTAGAAATAATTATTATTATGATTACTACTACTACTACTACTACTACTACTACTACTACTACTACTACTACTACTACTACTACTACTACTCTTACTACTACTATTACTACTACTATTACTACTACTACTATTACTACTACTATTACTACTACTACAATTACTACTACTACTATTACTACTACTACTACTACTATTACTACTACCCCTACTACTATTACTACTACTACTACTATTACTACTACTACTACTACTATTACTACTATTACTACTACTATTACTATTACTGCTACTACTACTACTATTACTACTACTACTACTACTACTACTATTACTACTACTACTATTACTACTACTACTATTACTACTAAAACTACTACTACTATTGCTGTATAGCCCTTGTGGCTTAGCGCTTCTTTTTTGATTATAATAATAATAATATTACTACTACTACTACTACTGTTACTACTATTATTACTACTACTACTGTTACTACTATTATTACTACTACAATTACTACTACTGTTACTACTATTATTACTACTACAATTACTACTACTACAGCTTCAACCTTCAGTGGCCCTTATAAACCCATCAAAACGACGGACATATACGGCTCGCGTCCTGGTAACCCTTAACAACCCCAAAACCAAGTTTTTTTCTATTTGAATAAAAATTATTTACGAAAATACAGCACAGACGGGTATGTAAACTTATATTTGAAGTTGATACAGATTATGATGGTTATGTGAAGAACTTCCGGCTTTTATCTGAGGTAATGGTTATTTATATATCAACTTTAATTCCAGTGGAAATTAAATGTTTGATTATTACTGGGGAATAATAAATTACTCTAATGTTAGTATATAACAGACACCTCATGGGAGGTGTATTGATGCCAGTGATGAGCTCTTGATCCAGGGAACAAAGCATCTTTGTGTTTAGCAATATTTTATTACATGTAAACTACACGTATACTAGACAAATAAAATTTTAATTTGATTCTGATCTTTGGGTCGAACCCGAATACTTACCATTTTACAAGTGCTATGTGACCCCTATTGGTTTAGCGTTTCCCCTAATCAGTAAATAAAAATACACCATGTAAGACAATTGTAAGACTTCTGCACTGAGCCTGAAAAAAAAAATAGATTTTTCAGATTATTAACCCAGAGGGTTAAAAATCCAGGATAACCCAATAAAGCCATAACATCACACTGGCTTATTTCCATTAATGTCCTTTAATCATCCCTCCAGAATGTGACCCACATCAGTCACAAAACTGCTAGGTCAACATAATAATAATAATTTTATTTTAGCATGATACATATTTGTACAGAGGAATGTAACAATTGGGTGAACATATAAAAAAAACCTTTATATGCACAGCATTTTGGGCAAACTTAAGACATATTTAAGATTAATAGGACAATACATTGCTATAATTTGTACATATGATCATTAGGTTAGTTATATTGAATACAAATAAATTGAATATTCGATTAGTTCGAACTGTGAGGCTTTAATAAGTTAGAGTCCTTGTGGCTTAGCGCTTCTTTTTGATTATAATAATAATAATAATTTAATAAGTTAGGTAGAGAAGAATTACAGTTTTGATATAGTATATAATAATACAGTGTTACAGTTAAGCACAATTTAAAACAATAAAGTTGAGACGGTTTTAAGTTTGAGGAAGTGATTGTATAGTTGAGCAATTATCAGATGTAAGGAATTATACCCAGTGTTTCTGCTGGCCCTATGATTGAACCTCGGGCCCAATAACTGGAGCCTGATCTGAACTCTAGTTCTGTGGCACAGCATTTGACTTGCAACTGAAAGGACCCAGGTTCATTGCCAGGCAGAGCAAGGACCCCAATGGAAATAAGTCTGACTTTTTTGGGTTATCTTAGGTTCTCTACACATATGCTGCTATGTGTGATAATCTATGTAACTGTATTTGTGTATACTTGAATAAACTTATTTACCTTTGGGTAAGCCTCCTAACACCTGCTGCTTCTGTTCACATAGCAGTAAATAGATATCTGTCACTGACCAGCCGGGCTGTGGCTCGTATGTTGGATTGCGTGCAGCCAGCAGTAACAGCCTGGTTGATCAGGCTCTGATCCACCAGGAGGCCTGGTCACAGACCCTTCCGTGGGGGCATTGACCCCCAGAACTCTCCCCAGGTAAACTCCAGGTAACTGAGTTGGCTGTTGTTGGTTACCTTCTGTTCAAGGATGTAAGATGCTATATACATTAATTAAGGACTCAGTGAAAATAAGCTACACTTGAGTTATCTTGAGGCTAATTCTCTGGTCTCAAGACAGTCAGTTCAGAAAAAGTTTTCTTCGTGCTGCTCTTTAGTCAGTGAATTTAAGTTGATTTAATTAGAAGTATTTAATATTTTTATAATTTTTTTTCTTGACATGGAAATTTTTATACAAGATAATGGTTGGAACAGATACCAAAGACCCCAGTGGAAATACCTCACTTGTGACTTCTGTCTAAATAAACTTACGTAGATGCTGTATGCTCCACTGTGTGGTATACTTCCGAGATGTTATGCAGTATGGACAAATCTCAATGCCTATTAGTTTTTTATTAAAACCTTTAAACTAGTTTAGTTATGTGAGGTGCAGTTAGGTTGAGTTTATGACAAAGTTTGTATGTACTGGAGTTTACCTGGAGAGAGTTCCGGAGGTCAATGCCCCTGCGGCCCGGTCTGTGACCAGGCCTCCTGGTGGATCAGAGCCTGATCAACCAGGTTGTTACTGCTGGCTGCACACAATCCAACGTATGAACCACAGCCCAGCTGGTCAGGTACCGACTTTAGGTGCTTATCCAGTGCCTGCTTGAATGCACATATATTATTCAAAAAATGCAATAAAACCCATGAACTTGAATGCTGACAACAATATGTTTTTATAAAATTGTCTGAGAATCTAGTTTTAACATTACACTATGACATTTCAGATGGATGAGAAAGTGGCCATCAAGAAGAACGAAGTCATGGATGGTGGAAATGATACCGAACTGGAAAAACATAAATCTCTTCTGTTAGCACAACTTGATACTGTCTTAGGATTGTCACACAGTTCATGTGATGCAGTGTATGCTAGTGAGAAGAGCACGGCAAAACAGATGTGTGTTGAGGATAAACCTAATTCTAGTTTAGATGTTGGTGTCCAGCAGAAAGATAAATTAGCTAATCTAACTCATTGTTTCGATGCAATATCTTCATTACCAGCTGAGCAAGATGCACAAAATGCTGAAGGAAATCTTAAAAAAATAATTGCAGAAGAGAAAAAATTCTCAGGTTGTGCTATGGAATATAATGGAGTATATGAAACAAGTGTTACGGACTGTAAACGTGAAGGAGTGATGGAATACAACAAAGGATCGTGTGAACCTAAAATCCCAGATAAAATTTTTGAAAGACCAATACCTTGTCACAAGAGCCCATGTGAATCAAGGGTTACAAATAATAATGGTCCACGTGCAAAAGAGTATACAGGAGAACCGCATGAAGAAAATAGTACTATAGGTAATTATAAAGGGACAAGTGAACATAAAAGACCATGTGTAGCCACTGTTACTGATTCTAATTTTGAGGGAGCAGTAGGACAAGAGCAAGATAACTACCAGCCTCTCATGACATACACATTTGAAGCTCCAATATTGGCCCTTGATTACAGAGAGGAATTTAGTGCATCAAAAAGCAACTTTACAAAGGGTTGTAAATGGTTAGTGTTAAATACTCTTTCATTTTAGTTTCCAACTACAGTGAAATCTGTAAAGCAAAGGAGATAAACTGAATTACTCATGTGGAATTTATAGCTGCATTATGCTGTATTAAAAATTTAATCTTAAATCTGCTTAATTCATTTATTAGGCTATTGTTTTCTTTAAATATAATAACACTTATTCTTTGTAGCCTGAGGGATAAAATCTTGAATCTCTTTAGGAGTTAAAATACCTCCATTCATTTAGTTTAAATGTAAATCCTTGATTTAACAAACTTTAGAAATACGAGACAAAATCTGCTGGGTTTGTTAAGGTTGGGCAAAAGTAGAAGCATTGGGTGTGTTTCCTTACACCTGCTGTCCCGTTCCCCTGGCAAGCAAACAGGTACGTACTTGGGTATTAGTCGACTGGTGTGGGTGGCATACTGGGGGACAAGATTGAGGACCCCAGTGGAAATAAGAAAGTCCCTCAATGATGCACTGCCTTTCTTGGGTTATCCAGGATGGCTAACCCTCCAGAGTTAAAACTCCAAACAAAATCTTATCTTATCTTACTAAGTGGTAATATATTTGGAAGACTCCCCTCAAGGAAGGCTCCTTGATGCTGGTGAGGGGCTTTTTCTCTAGGGAATTGGATCTGTGCTCCAGTTCCCTGAATTAAGTCTGAATACCTTCCACATCCCCCCACAGGTGCTGTATAGTCCTACGGGTTTAGCGCTTCCCCCTTGATTATAATAATAATTTTTGGAAGAATACTGTACTCCTTGAATAGAGTTGATATTATAGTACTGTAGTCTAAATTGAGTTTTGTACTTTGTGAACATTTATGAAGTACAGTTTATTAATACTTGTCAACTCACTGTTGAACAAATTTAGATCACAACTTTTCATGCTGTAGAAAGTAATTAAAAAGTAAAAAATACAGCATACAACGATTTACAACCGTGATCTGCATATCACTGTGAATAATTGTGATAGAACAATTGTAGTGTATATTTTTATGCCTGTGTGTATCTCATAATATGTAGAATTTTATGTTTTTATTTCCACAATACGGTAGGGCTCTTACATACATTAAGGTTATTCATCACATGCACATATGTAAGTATGCTTTGTTTATTTGTACCCTTCAAGGGCATGCCTTGATGCTATGAAAGGCTCTTGATCCTAGGAATTGGAGATAATTTACCCTTTGGGCTAAACCTTTTTGCCACCCTCTATGCCTCACATGGGTTTAGTGCTTCCTTCTCAGTGTAATAATAATATACTGTAATAACTTTCAGTTTATTCATAGACTCAAGATATCAGTCTTTACACAGCATTTGTACATAAATATCACATGATAATGTAAAAAAAATAATCTCCAAATAATTTATCTGTTTTATATTCAAGTACATGTATACGTAAGTCATTTCTGCAGAGTAAATTAAAAATGTAACACATCTCTACAAATAATATTGAATATAGGGCACCAGATGGCTCTTGTCTGCTGGTTGGGAGTGATGACCGCAAACTACGCCTTCTGAATCTACCGACACCAATTGTGCAGGGAGAGTTTCAGAGTAAGGTCACCCATGGATATTAAATAATCTAACTAAAATAATGTTCAAGTGACAATCTTGCTAATGATAACTCCTTAGTTCTTATCAATTTAATGCTTTTAAATTAGTAAGTGTAAGAGAAAATTTGTGGATATGCACCTCTATTATCTATACAATAATTTTTATCATAAAAAATTCTGCAAACATTTCATATTGGCTCATCTTTCTCAAAAATGAAAAAGTAGATTTTGCATTACAGGTGAATCTTGGTTTATGGGAGAATCTGAAAAGTATGCAAGAGCTGCCATTACCGTACAGGAAAACGAACTGATATACGATTATGCATGGTTTCCACTTATGCAGTCAAGTGATCCTCGCACCTGCTGGTCAGTATAGTACATACTCTACACATGTGCTGCTATGTATGATAATCTATGTATTTGTGTATACCTGAATAAACTTAATTACTCTATATTGCTTCTTGCATATTCAATATGTATTTGTCTTTCATTATTCAGTGTTTATATAATTTTATGTTTTTAATTGAAATTTTGTGCATACAGTAGTACCATCATAATTTAGGTATGATATTTATTTCAAAATGTTTTCATTAGTTTTGCAGTGACATGTCGAGATCACCCAGTACACTTATGGGATGCTTGGGATGGTCAGCTCATCTGCAGTTACCATTCATATGATCAGTAAGTACTGAGTCAGCATTAATTCCAGTAATACACAGAATCATATGGAAAAAAACAGTGAGTCATGTTTTAACCCTTAAACTGTCCAAACATAGACCTACATTCACGTGTGTAGCACTCCAACCTTTATTTTCCCCATTTGAAAACATATAAAAAAACGTAGATCTACATTTGGAGCCCCCCCACACGTGTACGTAGATCTGCATTTGGACAGTTTAAGGGTTAATTTACTGTAGTCAGTGTCAAAAAAAAAAAAGTGCTTCTACATGATCTTAATGAATTTCTAAGTTAAACAATTTACACTATATAAAAACCTAAGGTATAATAATTTAGTAAATGCACAATATACTTTTCAAAGTTTGCACAGAGTAATACTTTATGGCTATTCATATATGAAGAGAAATAAATATTGTACAATATTGTAAATGCTTTATTTTATATGCCTTTTTTGTATTTAAGAAATTCATTTTTGAGCAAAAACTTACCAGTGCTTCCAAGTGGGCCACAGCCCTAATGGGGCCATGAGAGGGGTGATTATTATAATTGCATTCATGGTGAAATGTTAAATCCATAGGGGTCATACAGGCAATCAGATTTGATCCAAGAGAGGATAGGTACAACTCCTTGGATCAGGATGCTATATGACCCTAGTGGGTTTAGTGCTTCTTTTTGATTATAGTAATAATAATCCTTGGATCAAGCCTTTCACCAGCATCAAGGGTTGAGAGGTGGTAAACATTAAATGGCTGGTCTAAGAAATTTATTAAGATTCAGTCATGGCATGAATTTTAGTTGCAGTACTGTGTTAATGCTGTATAATGACTGATATAATTTAATTTATATTTAACAGCCTTGATCAACTGGTAGGAGCTTACAGCATTGGGTTTAATCAGGAAGGATCCCACCTTCTCTGTGGCTTCAAAAAGTGCATTCGTGTTTTTCACACTAGTCGTCCAGGAAGATACTTTGAAACCATAGATTCAAAAGGTGAGAGACTATAAAGAATTCTGGTCAGTTTCCATAGTCACAGTTCTGACAGTGTTTCATCTTTACAAGAACTTCTTAGTTGTATTTATCAGTGTAGTAATATGAATAACAGTAATGTGATTCTTCTTCTTTCAACAAACCAGCCATATCTTACCAAGGCAGGGTGGCCCAAAAAAGAAAAACAAAAGTTTCTCTTTTTAAATTTAGTAATTTATACAGGAGAAGGGGTTACTAGCCTCTTACCTAGTAATGTGATTATCCTTTGCAGTTTTACTTGCTTTAACATCTGAACAGTTTGTTGCCAAAGTAATTACTTGGGATGCTTCACTCATTATCAGCTTGGCATTTGCTAAATGGTTTCTTCTTTAGCAGTCCTTTTCTGATGTTTTTTAAAACTTAGTGTTTATTAATACTCTGTTTAAACCCCCATTCTTATTACAACCTCTCCTCACTTAACGATGGAGTTCCGTTCCTAAGATCACGTTGTTAAATAAATTCGTCGGCAAGTGAGGAGCATACTGTAATGGTAGTGGGTTTGTGTCAACCATCTGATATTGTTTTAATGTAATCGTTTCACCATTCATAACATTTATGGTATACATTGGTACCTCGGGATACGAAATTAAGTAAGTAAGTAAGTTTATTCAGGTATACGCAAATACAGTTAAACAGGTTATCATACATAGCAGCATATGTGCCAAGTACCTAGGATAACCCAAAAAAGTCAGACATAGTGATTTATTTCCATTGGGGTCCTTAATTCATTCCAGAAGGCTGTTTGAGTGCCGATACCGAAAGACTTTGTTCCCATAAGGAATAATGTAAATTAGATTAATCCGTTTCAGACCCCCAAAAATACACTTACAAAAGCACTTACATAAATATACTTACATAATTGTTCGAGTTTTGAGCTGTTTGTATCCCGAGGTACCACTGTATTTTTAAATGTTTATAAAGTAGTGTACTGTATATTGAAATAAAAAGAATAGAGGAAATCAGCTCTTAACCCTTTGACTGTTTTCGACGTATAAATACGTCTTACGAGCCAATGTTTCTGACGTATATATATGCTAGGGTGTTTGGGAGAGGGGTGGGATTAAATTATGGGGAATCAAATTCAAAATGGGAATTGACACAGTTACTTTTTGCTGATGATACTGTGCTTATGGGAGATTCTAAAGAAAAATTGCAAAGGTTAGTGGATGAGTTTGGGAATGTGTGTAAAGGTAGAAAGTTGAAAGTGAACATAGAAAAGAGTAAGGTGATGAGGGTGTCAAATGATTTAGATAAAGAAAAATTGGATATCAAATTGGGGAGGAGGAGTATGGAAGAAGTGAATGTTTTCAGATACTTGGGAGTTGACGTGTCGGTGGATGGATTTATGAAGGATGAGGTTAATCATAGAATTGATGAGGGAAAAAAAGGTGAGTGGTGCGTTGAGGTATATGTGGAGTCAAAAAACGTTATCTATGGAGGCAAAGAAGGGAATGTATGAAAGTATAGTAGTACCAACACTCTTATATGGGTGTGAAGCTTGGGTGGTAAATGCGCAGCGAGGAGACGGTTGGAGGCAGTGGAGATGTCCTGTTTTAAGGGCAATGTGTGGTGTAAATATTATGCAGAAAATTCGGAGTGTGGAAATTAGGAGAAGGTGTGGAGTTAATAAAAGTATTAGTCAGAGGGCAGAAGAGGGGTTGTTGAGGTGGTTTGGTCATTTAGAGAGAATGGATCAAAGTAGAATGACATGGAAAGCATATAAATCTATAGGGGAAGGAAGGCGGGGTTGGGGTCGTCCTCGAAAGGGTTGGAGAGAGGGGGTAAAGGAGGTTTTGTGGGTAAGGGGCTTGGACTTCCAGCAAGCGTGCGTGAGCGTGTTAGATAGGAGTGAATGGAGACGAATGGTACTTGGGACCTGACGATCTGTTGGAGTGTGAGCAGGGTAATATTTAGTGAAGGGATTCAGGGAAACCGGTTATTTTCATATAGTCGGACTTGAGTCCTGGAAATGGGAAGTACAATGCCTGCACTTTAAAGGAGGGGTTTGGGATATTGGCAGTTTGGAGGGATATGTTGTGTATCTTTATATGTGTATGCTTCTAGACTGTTGTATTCTGAGCACCTCTGCAAAAACAGTGATAATGTGCGAGTGTGGTGAAAGTGTTGAATGATGATGAAAGTATTTTCTTTTTGGGGATTTTCTTTCTTTTTTGGGTCACCCTGCCTCGGTGGGAGACGGCCGACTTGTTGAAAAAAAAAAAAAAAAAAAATATATACTCAATAATTCTAGCGGCTTCAAATCAAGCGAGAGAAAGCTGGTAGGCCCACATGTGAGAGAATGGGTCTGTGTGGTCAGTGTGCACCACATAAAAAAAATCCTGCAGCACACATTGCGTAATGAGAAAAAAAAAACTCTGATCGTTTTTTTGGAATAAAACGCCGACTTTGAGGTTTATTTTCGTATAGTATTTATCGTTGTATTCGCGTTTTCATGCTCTTAGGTGATAAAATGAAAAACATATTACAGAAATAGAGATGATTTTCATTACTTTGACGATGAAAACGACCTTGAAACTGAGCTCAAAGTAGCGGAAATGTTCGATTTTTACCAATGTTCAGGAGTAAATAAATCACACCACACGTCCAATACACATCAACTGGGGAGTCTAATATTCTTTCACTAGTGCACTGATATTATTTATACCATTTTTACAATAATGCAGTAGTCTGCATAACAGTAAATTTTGTATTTTTTTGTATGAATAAAAAATCAAAATAGAAAGCAATAATAATATAAGAGGGGCCTAGAGATGTGACTAATGAATAGAGCATATGTTATTTTAGTGCCACGAATATCTACCTTGTTTATTCTGGACCCTATTTTGAAATTGGCATCTTTTTTATTTTGCGTGAAATTGGCCAAATTGCCAATTTCTGACAACCATATTGGGTAGTCCAAATTAGTATATGGGAGGTTTCTTGTACTCAGCTGATAGTTAAAATGGAGTTCTAAAGAAATAGCTATGAGTTTGGTCAACTGGAACAATGGAATTGGCTGAAAATAGGGCTCAAAGTCGGCGAAATCGCCGATACGCATATGTCGCCGAGACAGCTAACTTCGCGGGAGCATAATTCCATGAGTTTTCGACCATATTTCGAACTTTTGGTGTCATTACCATCGGGAAAAGATTCTCTATCATTTCATAAGAAAAAATAATTTTTTTTTTTTTCAAAAATTGAGCGACATAGAATGACAGTTTCAGAGAGGGGCCTGAAACAGTCAAAGGGTTAATATACATTATTTAGGTATAAACACTGGTCAGAGAGCCTATCGTAAGTCCAAGGCATCGGTAAACAACTACGTCGCTAAGTGAGGGGAGGCTGTATTATGTTGTTTCTTATTTCAATAAATCGGCCTTATCCCACCAAGGCAGGGTGGCCCAAAAGGAAAAACAAGTTTCTCCTTTTAAATTTAGTAATATATACAGGAAAAGGGGTTACTAGCCCCTTGTTCCCAGCATTTTAACCACCACTTATAACATGCCTGGTTTATGGAGGAAGAATTCTGTTCTACTTCCTCATGGAGAATTATTATATTCATGGGGAGTACAAAACCCATGGAGTCATACAGTGCCCGGAGTAATGAAAGGCAATCAGGTTTGATTCAAGGATGGCAGGTTGAATTATTTGCCTGAAGTTTACCTGGAGAGAGTTCCGGGGGTCAACGCCCCCGCGGCCCGGTCTGTGACCAGGCCTCATGGTGAATCAGAGCCTGATCAACCAAGCTGTTACTGCTGGCTACATGCAATCCAGCGTATGAGCCACAGCCCAGCTGGTCAGGTACCGACTTTAGGTGCTTGTCCAGTGCCTGCTTGAAGACAGCCAGGGGTCTGTTGGTAATCCCCCTTATGTATGCTGGGAGGCAGTTGAACAGTCTTGGGCCCCTGACACTTATTGTGTTGTCTCTTAATATGCTAGTGACACCCCTGCTTTTCATTGGGGGGATGTTGCATCGTCTGCCGAGTCTTTTTCTTTCGTAGCAAGTGATTTTCCTGTGCAAGTTCGGTACTAGTCCCTCTAGGATTTTCCAGGTGTATATAATCATGTATCTCTCCTGCCTGCATTCCAGGGAGTGCAGGTTCAGGAACTTCAAGCACTCTCAGTAATTGAGGTGTTTTATCTTTGTTATGCGCCGTGAAGGATCTAAATTTGGATCTAAAGCTCCCTCACCAGCTTCAGGGAATCTCCCTCGAGGGATTAATCCCTCAACTATTTTTATCTCTGGCATGTAAATAAAACTTACATAAATTACTCTAGTTTACTAGCTTCCTCTCAGAGCATAAGCACTAAGAGGACTCTTTGTTGTAGATTGGTAGTGCCAACCCTTCTCAAGTTGGCCTGTGGTCACACCCCTGGTCACTCAGTAGGTGGTGTCCCTAGGCTCCAAGGTCCATCGTTATGTAACTGTTACTTGAGTTAATTTGTCCCTTGCTCCCGAAACTGGAAGCTCTTTGACTAATGTATTCTGTTGTTATGCAGTTTCACAAGATACTACCAGCTCTTGTCAATCTAATGTAACTACCCAAGATTTTTCTGAAACCTTGATTTCATGTTAAAGCAAGGCCATATTTCAGTTTTATTTGAAGACAATCTGTAAATTTATTCCAGATTTTGATTACAGTGAACCCTCGAGTTTCGGCAGCCTCGACTTTCGTGAAATTCGACCTTTGGCGAGTTTTTTTGGCAAAATTTGGCCTCGAGTTTCGTGATTAGACTCGTTTCAGCGACCGTCCAGTACCCGTCCACCAGTCACCGTGCACACCAAGCCAGTCTCCCACGCCATTCACGCTCAGTGTGCCATTGTTTACCAACACGTGACCACCCCGCGGGTTCATACAATACATTTCATAATAATCCATTGTTTTTTGTGCTTGCAACTGCTAAATAAGACATCATGGACCCAAGGAAAGCTAGTGCAAACCCTTTGGTAAATAAAGTGAGGAACACGATCCAGAGGGATTTTGAAGGGTTTGAGGCAGACCCTGTCCCTGCCGACCCTCTGCCTGTTGTGGAAGGTGTTTTGGCATTGGGCAAGTCCATGGGGTTGGAGGTGAGTGACGGGGATGTAGAAGAGTTGGTGGAGGACCACAGGGAAGAGCTAACCACTGACGAACTGCAAGAGCTTCAACTGGAACAGCATCAGACCACAGCCGAGGAACCTGCTTCGGAGGAGGAGGAAGAGGGAGTGGATGAGGTGCCTTCTTCAAACATTAAGGAGATTTGTGCCAAGTGGAATGAGTTGCAAAGTTTTGTTGAAAAGTATCACCCTGACCAAGCTGAAACAAGCCATATCTGCAACATGTACAATAACAGTTTTGTGTCCCACTTCAGGAAAATCTTAAAGAAATGCCAGAAAAAGACCTCTGGACAGATATTTTGTGCAACAGGGGTCCAGTGACTCTCAAGTTGTTCCCAGTGGCATTAAAGAAGAAGGGGAATAACCCCAGATAAGGACTTGCTACCTAAAGTCCTAATGGAAGGAGATTCTCCTTCCAAACAATAGTGAACACCTTCCTCCTATCCCCTCCTCCCATATTCCATCCACTCAGTCTTCAATAAAGGTAAGTGTAATGCTTTTATTATTTTTTATATGCATGTACTTGATTTCTCATTGATTTCAGTATATAAATCTTTATTTAATTTGAAAAAAAAAAATTTATTTTAATATTTTTGGGTGTCTGGAATGGATTAATTTTATTTCCATTATTTCTTATGGGGAAAATGGTTTCGAGTTTCGTGAATTTCAACTTTCGGCAGGCTCTCTGGAACGGATTAATCATGAAACTCGGGGGTCCACTGTATTATTATTATCATAATCAAAAAGAAGCGCTAAGCCAATCTAGATTTTGATACCATATAAATCCTTTAACAAATTCCCAAAATTTTTCTAAGTAGTTAACTTAACTCTGTACATTCTTTTAAACTCCAAAGTGATATTTTGTATGGTCCTATTGCTGTTCTTATCAATATTCATTAGTTTCTTCCTTGCTTATTTTAATTGACTTTATTTCAACTGACTGATGGATGTTCAAATTTGATTTCAAATACTGCACAGTGTACTACACTTTTCTATATACACAAAGGAAATTTCTTCAGTATTTATCACATTTCATAGTCTGATTTGGTAATTTTGTCTTTACCTTTGATTTTTTATTTTGTCTTCATGTTTTCTGTAGTTGACTTTTTTCTCAGACCTAAATAAATTTGTTTCCAACTTGTTCTTGACCACTCTTTCTTTTTCAAAAATTTTCCCGCTTTTCTTACTTTGGTATAATAATTTTTTTTTTTGTGTGTGTGTATGTATATTTACATATTTATTTTGCATGACGCATGTGAACATCCACATTTTTCAGTAATTAACTCTTGTTATTTCTGCTCCAGGTCAGCCGGGTATAATCTCATGCATGGCCTTTAACCCACAGCTGCCATGTGTGTTTGCTGCAGGCAGTTACCTAGGCACTTTAGGTTAGTAAACAAAGGTTGCCCTATTTTCTAGCACAAAATCTGAGGTATTATGTGTATCAAATATAGAGAAGATTGTAAATGTGATAAAAGGCATTTAATTGTTAATTTTCGGTTTAGAAATGGCCATTAAGAATAAAGCATTGAACTTAAATATTGTAATGTATGTATCACATCATCATGGACCTAAGTAAACAGGTTATCCAGAATAAGTTAGGTAGTAGATTTTGAGTTTAAGTAAGACTGTGGCAATAAGAGAATGGATTGAGTAAGTAATGTGAAAAAAAAAAAAAATTAAGAGTGAAGGAAAATTTTTTTTTTTTTTTTTTTTTTTTTTTTTCAACAAGTCGGCCGTCTCCCACCGAGGCAGGGTGACCCAAAAAAGAAAGAAAATCCCCAAAAAGAAAATACTTTCATCATCATTCAACACTTTCACCACACTTGCACATTATCACTGTTTTTGCAGAGGTGCTCAGAATACAACAGTCTAGAAGCATACACATATAAAAATACACAACATATCCCTCCAAACTGCCAATATCCCAAACCCCTCCTTTAAAGTGCAGGCATTGTACTTCCCATTTCCAGGACTCAAGTCCGACTATATGAAAATAACCGGTTTCCCTGAATCCCTTCACTAAATATTACCCTGCTCACACTCCAACAGATTGTCAGGTCCCAAGTACCATTCGTCTCCATTCACTCCTATCTAACACGCTCACGCACGCTTGCTGGAAGTCCAAGCCCCTTACCCACAAAACCTCCTTTATCCCCTCTCTCCAACCCTTTCGAGGACGACCCCTACCCCGCCTTCCTTCCCCTATAGATTTATATGCTTTCCATGTCATTCTACTTTGATCATTCTCTCTAAATGACCAAACCACCTCAACAACAACCCCTCTTCTGCCCTCTTGACTAATACTTTTATTAACTCCACACCTTCTCCTAATTTCCACACTCCGAATTTTCTGCATAATATTTACACCACACATTGCCCTTAAACAGGACATCTCCACTGCCTCCAACCGTCTCCTCGCTGCTGCATTTACCACCCAAGTTTCACACCCATATAAGAGTGTTGGTACTACTATACTTTCATACATTCCCTTCTTTGCCTCCATAGATAACGTTTTTTGACTCCACATATACCTCAACGCACCACTCACCTTTTTTCCCTCATCAATTCTATGATTAACCTCATCCTTCATAAATCCATCCGCCGACACGTCAACTCCCAAGTATCTGAAAAAAATTCACTTCTTCCATACTCCTCCTCCCCAATTTGATATCCAATTTTTCTTTATCTAAATCATTTGACACCCTCATCACCTTACTCTTTCTATGTTCACTTTCAACTTTCTACCTTTACACACATTCCCAAACTCATCCACTAACCTTTGCAATTTTTCTTTAGAATCTCCCATAAGCACAGTATCATCAGCAAAAAGTAACTGTGTCAATTCCCATTTTGAATTTGATTCCCCATAATTTAATCCCACCCCTCTCCCAAACACCCTAGCATTTACTTCCTTTACAACCCCATCTATAAATATATTAAACAACCATGGTGACATTACACATCCCTGTCTAAGACCTACTTTTACCGGGAAGTAGTCTCCCTCTCTTCTACACACCCTAACCTGAGCCTCACTATCCTCATAAAAACTCTTTACAGCATTTAATAACTTACCACCTATTCCATATACTTGCAACATCTGCCACATTGCTCCTCTATCCACTCTATCATATGCCTTTTCTAAATCCATAAATGCAATAAAAACTTCCCTACCTTTATCTAAATACTGTTCACATATATGCTTCAATGTAAACACTTGATCTACACATCCCCTACCCACTCTGAAACCTCCTTGCTCGTCCGCAATTCTACATTCTGTCTTACCTCTAATTCTTTCAATTATAACCCTACCGTATACTTTTCCTGGTATACTCAGTAAACTTATTCCTCTATAATTTTTACAATCTCTTTTGTCCCCTTTCCCTTTATATAAAGGGACTATACATGCTCTCCGCCAATCCCTAGGTACCTTCCCCTCTTTCATACATTTATTAAACAAAAGTACCAACCACTCCAACACTATATCCCCCCCTGCTTTTAACATTTCTGTCATGATCCCATCAGTTCCAGCTGCTTTACCCCCTTTCATTCTACGTAATGCCTCACGTACCTCCACCACACTTACATTCTGCTCTTCTTCACTCCTAAAAAATGGTATACCTCCCTGGCCAGTGCATGAAATTACCGCCTCCCTTTCTTCCTTAACATTTAAAAGTTCCTCAAAATATTCTCGCCATCTACCTAATACCTCCCTCTCTCCCCATCTACTAACTCCCCTACTCTGTTTTTAACTGACAAATCCATACTTTCCCTAGGCTTTCTTAACTTGTTTAACTCCCTCCAAAATTTTTTCTTATTTTCATTAAAATTTCTTGACAGTGCCTCTCCCACTCTTTCATCTGCTCTCCTTTTGCACTCTCTCACCACTCTCTTCACCTTTCTTTTACTCTCCATATACTCTGCTCTTCTTATACACTTCTGCTTTGTAAAAACCTCTCGTAAGCTACCTTTTTCTCTTTATCACACCCTTTACTTCATCATTCCACCAATCACTCCTCTTTCCTCCTGCCCCCACCCTCCTATAACCACAAACTTTCTGCCCCACATTCTAATACTGCATTTTTAAAACTATTCCAACCCTCTTCAACCCCCCCACTACTCATCTTTGCACTACCCACCTTTCTGCCAATAGTCGCTTATATCTCGCCCGAACTTCCTCCTCCCTTAGTTTATACACTTTCACCTCCCTCTTACTTGTTGTTGCCACCTTCCTCTTTTCCCATCTACCTCTTACTCTAACTGTAGCTACAACTAAATAATGATCCGATAATATCAGTTGCCCCTCTATAAACATGTACATCCTGGAGCCTACCCATCAACCTTTTATCCACCAATACATAATCTAACAAACTACTTTCATTACGTGCTACATCATACCTTGTATATTTATTTATCCTCTTTTTCATAAAATATGTATTACTTATTACCAAATTTCTTTCTACACATAGCTCAATTAAAGGCTCCCCATTTACATTTACCCCTGGCACCCCAAAAATTACCTACTACTCCCTCCATAACATTTTTACCCACTTTAGCATTGAAATCCCCAACCACCATTACTCTCACACTTGATTCAAAACTCCCCACGCATTCACTCAACATTTCCCAGAATCTCTCTCTCTCCTCTACACTTCTCTCTTCTCCAGGTGCATACACGCTTACTATAACCCACTTTTCACATCCAATCTTTATTTTACTCCACATAATCCTTGAATTTATACATTTGTAGTCCCTCTTTTCCTGCCATAGCTTATCCTTCAACATTATTGCTACTCCTTCTTTAGCTCTAACTCTATTTGAAACCCCTGACCTAATCCCATTTATTCCTCTCCATTGAAACTCTCCCACCCCCTTCAGCTTTGTTTCACTTAAAGCCAGGACATCCAGTTTCTTCTCATTCATAACATCCACCAATCATCTCTTTCTTATCATTTGCACAACATCCACGCACATTCAGACTTCCCACTTTGACAATTTTCTTCTTCTTATTCTTTTTAGTAATCTTTACAGGAAAAGGGGTTACTAGCCCATTGTTCCCGGCATTTTAGTTGACTTTTACAACACGCATGGCTTACGGAGGAAAGATTCTTATTCCACTTCCCCATGGATATAAAAGGAAAAGTAATAAGACCAAGAACTATTAAGATAAAATCAAAGAAAACTCAGATGAGTGTGTATAAATAAACGTGTACATGTATGTGTAGTGTGGCCTAAGTGTAAGTAGAAGTAGCAAGACGTACCTGTAATCTTGCATATTTATGAGACAGACAAAATTGTTACTAATTAATATTAAATCTGTGGAAAAATAAAGAAGACAGCTACATAGATTCCTCGATTGATTGGAAATCAAGTGTTAGTGAAAAAAGAATTAACGTGGAATGAAAACACAGACTTCATTGTATTCTAACATTAGTAACATATACAACAGTTATGAATGAAGGGATTCAGTGAAAACCAGTTAGCCAACTTTGAGTCCCGGAGGTGGAAAGTACAGTACCTGCACTCTGGAGGGATGAGAATGTTACTGTTTGGGAACTGTTGAAACTAAGATGTCTGTACACTTTTGGCAAGGCAGCTATTGACTGAATAATGATGAATGTGTTTCCTTATTTCGGGTCATCCTCCCTTAATGGGAGATATCCAGTGAGGTAAAACAAACAAATCACTACGAAGACACTTACAAGTGTACATATTGTCTATATCCGAAGACGACCTAAGTTGCAGACTGCCATACAATGTACAGTACTTTCTTTCCATTTTACTCTCTATATATATAACAACTGGTTTTGTGTATGGTATAAAATTATATAATATAAACATTGCCTCTTTTGGTAGGTCTCTACAATCTTCAAAGTAATAACTTGTTCTGCCGAATGGAGGGTTGCCTAGGTGGGGTAACCCACGTTCAGTTTTCTTCAGATGGTACAAAACTGTTTTCTGGAACCCGAAAGGTAATACAATATATTTTGGATGTGTCAGTTCATGTGCATATGTGTTTGCTAATTTTGTCTATATTCTTAATTTGTGTGTTTAATTACATTACATACACACTGGTATGCACTCTGTTGGCTGAACATCATACAGTGCTGTACCTTCATAACCCTCTCTTTACCCTTAAACTGTCCAAATGTAGATCTACGTTTGCTCGCGTAGTGCTCCAAACGTAGATCTACATTTTTTTTTACAAGCCTTCAAATGGAGAAAATCAAGGTCGGAGCACTACACGCGTAAACATAGATCTACATCTGGACAGTTTAAGGGTTAAATTAAGATAGCTAGTAGGAAGTCTTCAATTAGAATGTCTCATTGTAATTGATTTATTAAATTAATTACAATGAGATATGTGAATTGCAATGTTTGTGCACTGTTGTCAAGACAGCATTGAATGAATGATTTTTTTTTTCTTTTTTTTTTTTGTGTTCACCCCACCTTGGTGGGAACGGCATGTGGTAAAAAAATAAGACAACAATGCAGAGTGCTTGAGATACTATGTGCAACTAAGTTTCAAAATTAAATGTAAAATTTAAGATATAGTATCCTTGTTTGTTATTAATATTTTTGACTCGTAGTACATTTTATTTTTTAAGTTGATCCACAGAGTTGTAATGATAATTTGAGGAAATAAATATGGTATTCGTATACAGTGCTTGGGAGTCTACATATCGGCAGATGGGCCTATGAAAGATGTGGTGATTCATAGATAAGATGAGAGGAGAAAAGTAGGCATGTTGAGGCATCTGTGGAAAGAAGAGTGTTTATCTATGGAAGCAAAAAATACAAATGTACCAAATTATAATGGTACCATCACTTTTATATGGATGCGAGACATGGGCTTTAAACATTGCAACAAGGAAGAGGCTAGATGCAGTTTAAGAGCAATGTTTGATGTGAATATTATGCGGAGAATTCAGTGTAGAAATTAAAATATGGCGTGGGGTTACCAAAAGTATAATTCACAGGGTTGAGGAAGTCTGAGCACTTAAAAGAAGATGGAACAGAATAGGACGGCCAAGAGGGTGTGTAAATCTGGGGTGAAGGAATTAGAGGTAAGGGTCATCCCAGTAGGGGTTGCAAGATTCTGTACGAGGCACAAGTACGCTCACACCTTGAGTGTGCTCCACTTTCTTGGTTTGCCTGCCCCCCTCTCATCTGCGACTGCTTGACAGAGTAGAGAACAGAGCAAGACGTCTCATCTCTCGCCTGGACCCATCCTGGATAGATCTGTCATTTCAGCAGAGCCTTCAACATAGGAGGGATGTGGGTGGCCTTACTGTTATGTACAAGGCCAATATTGTCAAAGTACCACACTTGGATCCACTTCGAGGACAGCGTGAAACAAGCTTTTATGCCACAAGACGGGCAGAAAGCAGCAACTTCACTCTGGCTGTACCCTTCTCCAGAACATCACTCCATCTGAGATCATATATACCCAGGATGACTTGAGTATGGAACACATTCGTACAGCATAATGATGTCAACAAGATAAAGTCAGTTGATCACATGAAAATGCTGGCCCACAGATGGCTCCAACTTCATCCTGTATGTCTCATAATAAAAATGCTTTCAAATGAGCTGATGTAGGTAACAGCTCTTAGCTTGCCAATAAAATTAGGAATCCTTAACCTGTAAATAGCTTGTCAATAAAGCTAGGGATCCTTAACCTTGTCAAACCCTGTGTAAAAAAAAAAAAAAAAAAAGGTTGGAAGTCAGGGTTAAGGAGGGATTTGAGTTCTAGGAGAGTGAGCATCCAGGAGGTTTGTGTGTTAGATCAGAGTAAGTGGAGATAAGTGGATTTTATGGCTTGACATTCTCTTGGAGTGTGAACAATGAAGAGATTCAGGGGAAACTGGTTACCTGAACTTGATTTTTGGAGGTGGGAATTAGAGTGCATTCTGAAGAAAGGTTGAAGATGTTGGAGTTCAAAGAGGTAATTAAAATGATGGTGAAAATGTTTCCTTTTTTAGTGTCATCTTAACTTAGTGGGAGATGTGGCCAGTATGTTAAAAAGTACATCAACATGGTATTGTACACTTGGTCATATATGTCCTCAGAAACCCTAGACTAGTTTATCTACCATATTTAGAATTCTTAGATCTAGTAACTAGTTAGCTTGCTATATATTGAAGCTAGACTACAGGTAATTCATGACTATAATTTATATTAATTTTATTAAATTTTTCCCATTAGAATAATGAAATTCTTTGCTGGGACATTAGAAATCTTGGAACAATATTGTGTGGATATAAACGAGAAGTTTCTACTAATCAAAGAATTTACTTCGACTTGGAACCACAACTGAATAGATTTCTTATATCAGGTAAGCATCTTAAGTAATTATCTAGTCAAATTCAATTCAAATTCAAATTCAAATTCAAATTCAAAATTTATTCTCTATAAGGATTACAATGCTGAGTTTACAGAATTTGGTTATTGTGTGGTTTACATGTAGTAAAATAATTACAGAGTGTACCACTAGAACACCTAGCATGGCTAGGCATTTCGGGCAGACTTAAATTAAATCTTAAGTTTAAAATATTACAAAATTATGAGGTTAGTTGGTATTATGGCTAAGTGAATAATACTAGTTTGTGAGTTTAACAATGTGAATGCTTTTGTTTTGGCACTATACGTAGTTTCAGTATTGGAGTATCGCAGGCCAACTTATGACTAGTTAAGATTCATTATTTTGAGATTGAGATTGATATTTCTGTTTATGGTCAAATGGGTGAGTGAGTGTAAGTGTTAACCACCAGGTGGTATTCATGTAATTAGTTGACAGGGTGTATCAGGGAGATAAGATGTTTTCTAATGGTAGTTTTGAAGGTGATGAATGTGTCTGCAGTTTTAGAATTTTCAGGTAGGGTGTTCCAGATTTTAGGGCCTTTGACATACATTGAATTTTTGTAAAGGTTTAGTCGGACACGGGGAATGTCATAGAGATGTTTGTGTCTGGTGTTGTGCCTGTGGGTTCTGTCGCAACTATCAAGAAAGCGTTTTAGGTCAAGGTTAATATTGGAATTTAAGGTCCTGTAGATGTAGATTGCACAGTAGTAAGTGTGGATGTACTGAACAGGGAGTAAGTTTAGATCTATGAAGAGTGGGGGGGTGTGTTGCCAAGGATGGGATTTAGTGATTATTCTTACTGCGGCTTTTTGTTGGGTTATTATTGGCTTTAGGTGTGTTGCTGCAGTTGAACCCCAAGCACAGATAGCATAGGTGAGGTATGGATATGTAAGTGAATGGTATAGTGTGAGAAGGGCAGTTTGCGGCACGTAGTATCGTATCTTGGAGAGGATCCCAACCATTTTGGATACTTTTTTGGTTATGTGTTGGATATGGGTGCTGAAGTTCAGGTTGTTGTCGAGGTATAGGCCTAGGAATTTGCCCTCATTATGCCTGGCAATTAGAGTGTTGTCGATCTTAATGTTAATTTGCTTATCTCCTGCTCTGCTACCAAACATAATGTAGTAGGTTTTGTCAGTGTTAAGCGTAAGTTTATTGGCTGTCATCCAAGTCGATATTTTGATCAACTCCTCATTAACAATGGTGTTGAGGGTGGCAAGATTAGGGTGAGAGATGACATAAGTCGTGTCGTCAGCAAAGAGAATGGGGTTCAGGTGTTGAGATACGTTTGGAAGATCATTGATGTATATGAGGAAGAGCAGGGGACCAAGGACACTTCCCTGCAGAACTCCAGTATCAAGTGGCTGTGTTGTTGATGCTGTGTCTTTAATGGTGACATACTGATACCTATTAGTAAGGTAAGATTTGAAATATGCAAGCGCATGGCCTCTTATACCATAATGGTCAAGTTTGTGGAGTAGGATGCCGTGGTCTACTGTGTCAAAAGCTTTTCTTAGGTCAATAAAAATTCCTAGTGGATATTCCTTATTTTCCAATGCTGTGTAAAGCAGATCTAGCATTTTTATGATTGCATCGTTAGTGCTTTTATTTTTCCTGAATCCAAATTGGCAGGGGTTGAGTATGTTTTGTGCCGTTATAAATGAATATAGTCTCCTGTGCACGAGTTTCTCAAGATTTTGGATAGCAATGGTAAGTTTGATATTGGCCTATAGTTGTTTAAATCTGTAGGGTCACCACCTTTATGTATTGGTGTAACCCTTGCCGTCTTGAGTAGTTTTGGGAAGGTGCTAGTTTCTAGTGACTTGTTAAAAAGTAATGAGATAGCATGCGAGAGGACATGGGCCGCTCTCTTGTACAATAATGGTGGGACATGAGACAGATTTCCCGAGTTATTTTTAAGTGACTTTATAATCTCGGTGACTTCCATGGGCTCAGTTGGAGCAAGATAGAAGGAATTTGGGAAATTCCCATCTAGGTAGTCCCCGTCATGGGCATTGGTGCGTGGGATTTTATTGGCGAGATTAGAACCTATGGTTGAGAAGAAGTCGTTTATCTTGTTAGCTGTGTCAGTGGGATGCAGTGGTGTTTCATTAGGTTTAGTTAGGGCAATATTCTTGTTTTTTTTTCAGTTTGTGGGTCCCTAGAATCTGAGAGAGTGTTTTCCAGGTCTTTTTTATATCTCCTATTGTGTCAGTGAATCTACTGGAGTAGTATAGTTGTTTGGCTTTCTTTATTACTTTGGTGAGGACTGATGAATAGTGTTTTAGAATATCTTTGTGTATTAAGCCCTGTCTATATTGCTTTTCATATTGGTGTTTCTTATCAATGGATTTCAGAATGGTGCTGGTTAGCCATGGGCAACCAAGCCGGTTGTTTGTGATCTGTTTCGTTTTTATAGGACAATGTTTGTTGTATAGTCTAAGTAATTTGTTAAGAAAAATGTCTGTCCAGTCATCAATACCATTGGCCTTGGAGAATTCTGTAGGCCAGTCAACAGTCTCTAGGTCAGCTGTGAACTTCCTTATTGAGGCCTCATCATGGAGTCTAAATGAAACTGTTGTATTCAAGTGGTGGTTTACTAATGTTTGTCAAGAGGAAGGTAGGGTAGTGGTCTGTAGTGCTATCTGTGATTATCCCTGATTTAAGGGGGGCTAGTATATTGGTCCATATGTGGTCTATTATGGTTGCACTTGTTTCAGTGAGCCTGGTTGGTTTAGTTATTGTTGGTATGAGAAGTGTGTTGTTCATATTGTTGATGAAATCAGTTACAGGCTGATCATCTAGTAGGCCAAGGTTGATGTTGAAGTCTCCAGCTAAGAGAAGGTGGTGCTTATTCATTTGTCTGTTTGTTATTAGTGCCTTTAGTTTCTCACTGAAATTTGGGATGTTTGTGTGGGGTATCCGATAAATGGCACCGATTGTAATAGGCGTCTTAAGTTTTTTTACAGTAAAATTAGCAAAAATGTATTCTCCATATTCATCACTAAAGCAAGTGGTGCTAATACAAGATAACTGGTTAGAGTAATAGACTGCAATACCACCCCCAACTTGGTATGGTCTGCAGTTGTGGATTGCTGTGTATCCTGGTAGAGGGTAAATATCTATTGTGTCCTGCTTAAACCAGGTCTCAGTAAGAATAATGCAGGAGAAGGGTGTCTTTAGTGATTCAAGGAGTGCCAGGAGGTCATCATAGTGTTTGCTTAAGGACCTAATGTTGTAGTTAAGTACTGATAGACTTTTAGCATTGTTTAGGATAGTGCTGGCTTGTGATGCTGTGTAGTAAAGGCAGTTACTTTCCAATAGGTTTTGATTGTGTGTCAGATTATGGAGGTTTAGATCAGATGCCTGTACAATGATTTTACCCCTCAATCTGTCATGATTAAAGAGTTGTGATCACCTCTATATTTTTTTTTTTTTTTTGTGCGCGTTTGTGATACCTGCCAAGCATCACAGACTGTCATATTTACATCACATTTTTGTGATGACTATTTTATTGTTTCATTTTGGTATTTCATGTTTTACTTTACTTTTTATGCTGTTAGTACTGTATTTTATACTGTAAGGTTTAGGATAAACACTGTACAACACAAATAGTTGTTTATTTCCCAGAAATTTGGCAAAAAAAAAAAAAAAACACGGTTGTAAGTCGAGCAGGTCGTAAGTCGGATGGTAGGTGTATACACAAAATAATGATTAGCTAAAGAAGTATTGTCATTATTTTCAGAGAAATGCTTCTTGGTGTATTTTAATTACCAAGATTTCCATATGTACAGCCTCAGTGTAGTATCCTCTATTTTTTTTTTTTTTTTGTAAAAGTCACCCTACATCACTTCAAGTAACAATACTCCTTAAAGTACGAGTTGAATATCAGAATGGTATAAAATACCAACAGGTTGGTAGGTAAGACACGTAAGCAACAGTTAAGCAACTTTATTCCAAATAAAGTTGCCTAACTGTTGTCTGTGTATCTTACCTACCAAAGTACAAGTTAGTGAGATCTTATCCAGATTCACCACTATCTTTACATGGCTTTTTTTTTTCTCCTTTACTAATAACATTGACACTATATTAATATCAACTTGTCAGTTTTCTTCTTTTCTTTACAAAAATATAAATCAATATTAACATTACAGGAGATACTAAGGGGCAAGTGTTAAAGTGGGATTTGAGCCACAATAATGAAGGCACTTCAGCAAAGGAAGATATACCTCTTTTAATGCCTTCATCATCATTTACTGCTCATAAAGACTGTACTAATGGAGTAAGGTAAGTGATGTTTATATCATTCAAATGGGCACTGTGATACCAGTGAAGGGCTCTTGATTCAAGGAATTAGATTTACCCTTAGAGCCAACCTCATTACCTGTCATTCCCCAGGTTCTATATGACTTCTATGGGTCTTGTGCTTCTCCACGAACATATTATTATAATTAAAAAGAAGCGCTAAGCCACAAGGGCTATACAGCGCTGCAGGGTAGGGAAGGAAGCGAGGGTATTGGGCGGCAGAAGGGGGGAGGGACGATCAGTAAGTTACAGAAAACAGCGGGGCAGGGGATATCCATGAACAATGATGTTTATAATATATGTAGTTTGGTTGCAATATTTTAAGGTATAGTCATTACATGATCCAGGTCAAACTAATTCTTTAATTTATCTAAGGCTAATAAAGCCTCTACCTGTCCATCTAACAGTTGCATGAACTGTGAAAACTCAGGGTTATTCTTGTTAATTATTTTAAGTATATTTATTCCTACTAGATATTAAAAATCCTGTGCACCCGAGGGCACAAAATTTCGCAGTACACTGTTTTTTTTACCATACAGACCTTATTTTTCTCCCATGAATGTAATAATAATATAGACCTTGCTAATTTTTGTTTTTGAATTTAAACTAATAATTTAGTAGACAGAATACTCTTATTAATGCAGTGATCTTTTTGTTTCAGCATACATCCTTACTGTCCTATTGTAGCAACCAGCTCTGGGCAACGACACTTTCCAGAGCCAATATCAGAATGTGATTCAGATTCCAGTTATGAAGATGATGCAATGAAGCCATTGTTTACCAGGCAAAAAATAAAAGAATGCTCAGTCAAGCTGTGGTGGCTTGGAGGGTAATTGTTGTGGCAAGGATGTCCTCCCAAACTTGCATGCTGACTCTTGAGAGTAGCACACTTGAAATTTATTTACAAGTATCTTTTTAGATACAGTATTAGGCTTAAATTTTTGACAGTAATGCTTATTCTCTCTTGAATGTACAATATTATAGTTTAAATCACATGTTGAAAATAATAGTACAGTATTCTATAGCTGTTTTTATGTTACTTAACTATGACCTTGAGTTTCATAAGCCACAGTGGTTTACATGATCTTATCTGAAAACTGTACATGTTGCCTCTCAATAGAGCTGTTACCACTGCTTTAAGTTGTTTCCTACTAGCCAACAGTTAATCTAAACCCCCTAAAGATATCTTGCCCCATGGTGAACATTATAGAAAAGAATCAATGTAGTAATCAAGTACATTAATGAATCTTGAGCATATATTACTATTACTATCAGTCCCAAATGTTGTGCTTATGGGTTTAACACTTCAACACTGATATTAATATACTCCACCCAGAAATTTCTTTAGCTATTTAAAGTGTAATTAAAGGTGTTTACTTATAAAAGTGTTCAACACCATTACTGAGTGGAAAACTTGCTGATGTTTTTTTAAATTACTTGTAATTTATATTGAATTTAAACATTATTTACAACATACTGTAGAAACACGATTTGTATTCTCTTTATGCCTTTTAGTCTTTGTATTGAGTTTAAGAAAGTTTACTTTTTTAAGCCTTTCTTACAGTACTTGTTCTCTGCTGTTTATAAAATACTACATTTTTTACAGATCCTGATGATGATGGATTAAAAATCAAGTTTCTACAGTATGTTGTAAATAATGTGTGTAAATTCAATGTAAATTACAGGTAATTGATCTGAACCTAAAACAAGTCAGGCTATTGTTTAAAGAGCACATAGCATGAAATTTTAAATTAATGGCATGACCTAAAGATTTTTCTTTCTATCAGTTAAACAATTATCCTCTCTACTCTCAGGTATTATATTATCTTTTTCTCTTTTGATAGTATTTTTTGTAGCCATCTGAATAACATTGTGTATTGCACCCACTGGATCATCTTTGTAAATCATAAAGTGACCTTGAACTGCTGCTGCACTCAGTGGCACACTCAGGTTCTGTGAAGCCTGAAAGAATTGAGCAGAAATTAGTGTTAAACAAAGCAGGTTATATAAATCATATTTTATACATATACAAATATTTCTTTTTCTGTTTAGTAAACTATACAGGAAAAATTGGTTACTAGCCCATTGCTCCCAGCATTGTAGTTGACTTTTACAACATATATGGCTTATGGTGGAAAGATTCTTATTCCACTTCCCCATGGTTATGAAAGGAACAGCAATAAGAACAAAATCTATTAAGATAAAATAAAAAAAAACTCAGATGAGTGTGTATACATAAACGTGTACATGCATGTGTAGTGTGACCTAAGTGTAAGCAGAAGTAGCAAGACGTACCTGAACTCTTGCATGTTTATGAGACAGAAGTAGCGCTGTATAGCCCTTGTGGCTTAGCGCTTCTTTTTGATTATAATAATAATAATAATAATATGAGACAGAAAAAAGACACCAGCAATCTTACCATCATGTAAAACAAAGACAGGATAAAACAATTATTATTATTATAATCAAAAAGAAGCGCTAAGCCACAAGGGTTATACAGCAGGATAAAACAAATAAAGGGAAATATTTCATATGTACCATAGCTGGGGAATGGGAGGCAATCAGGTCCACTTCCTTGGATGAAGAGCTCCTCACCAGCATAAAGGTACCTCTCTCTAGACTCCACACAGGCTATAATTCTCTACATACAACAGGTGCTGTATGACCTTTCTGGGTTTAGCACTTAGTTAGAAAAAAAAAAATAACAAGTCGGCCATCTCCCACCGAGGCAGGGTGACCCAAAAAGAAAATACTTTCATCATTCAACACTTTCACCTCACTCACACATAATCACTGTTTTTGCAGGTGTTCAGAACACAACAGTTTAGAAGCATATACGTATAAAGATACACAACATATCCCTCCAAACTGCTAATATCCCAAACCCCTGCTTTAGTGTAGGCATTGTACTTCCCATTTCCAGGACTCAAGTCCAGCTATATAAAAATAACCGGTTTCCCTGAATCCCTTCACTAAATATTACCCTGCTCACACTCCAACAGATCGTTAGGTCCCAAATACCATTCGTCTCCATTCACTCCTATCAAACACGCTCGTGCACGCCTGCTGGAAGTCCAAGCCCCTCGCCCACAAAACTTCCCTTACCCCTTCCTTCCAACCTTTTCGAGGACGACCCCTACCCCGCCTTCCTTTCCCTACAGATTTATACGCTCTCCATGTCATTCTATTTTGATCCATTCTCTAAATGACCAAACCACCTCAACAACCCTTCTTCAGCCCTCTAATACTTTTATTAACTCCACACCTTCTCTTAGTTATGATTATAATAATAATAATACAGTGGACCCCCGGTTCGCGAAGTAACCGGTAACCGATAAATCTGATATCCGAAGTGTCATATCGCCAAAAAATTGCCCCGGTTCCCGTAACAAAACCCAGTACGCGATACGATTCGTACGAGGCGTGTCCACATGTGGCCTGAACTGCCCCGTGTGTGCCAGTGTTTACAAGCCAGCCAGTGTGCGCGCATCTAAGGATACATTCGGTACATTCCATATTATCCATATTATCACTGTTTCTGTTGCTTGTTTCTGCAAAATAAGTCACCATGGGCCCCAAGAAAGCTTCTAGTGCCAACCCTTCGAGACCAAGGGTGCTAATGACTATTGAAATGAAGAAAGAGATAATTGCAAAGTATGAAAGTGGAGTGCGTGTGTTGGACCTGGCCAAGTTGTATAGTAAATCCCAATCAACCATCTCTACTATAGTGAGCAGGAAAACGGCAATCAAGGAAGCTGTTCTTGCAAAAGGTGTAGCTGTGATTACAAAACAGCGATCGCAAGTGTTAGAAAATGTTGAGAGACTGTTACTGGTGTGGATAAATGAAAAACAGATAGCTGGAGATAGCATCTCTCAAGCGATCATTTGTGAAAAGGCTAGGCAGTTGCATGAGGATTTAATTAGAAAAATGCCTGCAACTAGTGATGCGAGTGAATTTAAGGCCAGCAAAGGTTGGTTTGAAAGATTTAAGAATCGTAGTGGCATACATAGTGTGATTAGGCATGGTGAGGCTGCCAGTTCAGACCAGAAAGCGGCTGAAAAATATGTGCATGAATTCAGGGAGTATATAGAGGCTGAAGGATTGAAACCTGAACAGTCCTAATCTAGGGGGATTCCCCTTCTAAACATTAAAAACTTCGACACTCTCCCCTCCTCCCATCCCATCAATCATCACCAGATCTTCATTAAAGGTAGTGTCAATTATTCTATTGTGTTTATTCTATTTTTATTATTGCTATTGTAATTATTCTATTGCATTAAACTTAATATTTCATGTGGTAAAAGTTTTTTTTTTTTCATACTTTTGGGTGTCTTGCACAGATTAATTTGATTTCCATTATTTCTTATGGGGAAAATTGATTCGCTTTCCGATAATTTTGCTTTATGATGAGCTCTCAGGAACGGATTAATGACTTGAACCGGGGGTCCACTGTACACACAACAGGGTTTGGGGAAGAGGACATATGCAATGAAAGGATTATAGGGAAACTTGTACTAAAAGAATATTATTACAAAATATTATTGCAAGATATCCTGGGACAGAATGTTGGGAAGTACAGTGCTTTATACACACCATTCAAAATATATCTAGTATTGTGTTAAGATGTGTATTATTATTATTCTTCTTTCAACAAACCAGCCGTATCCCACCAAGGCAGGGTGGCCCAAAAAGGAAAACAAAAGTATTTCTTTTTAAATTCAGTAATCTGTAAAAGAGAAGTGGTTACTAGCCCCTTGCTCCCAGAATTTTAGTCACCTCTTACAACATGCATGGCTTACGGAGGAAGAATTCTGTTCCACTTCCCCATGGAGATACGAGGAAATAAACAAAAACAAGAACTAGAAAGAAAATAGAAGAAAACCCAGAGGGGTGTGTGTATATATATATATATATATATGCTTGTATACATGTATGTGTAGTGTGACCTAAGTGTAAGAAGTAGCAAGACATACCTGAAATCTTGCATGTTTACAAGACAGAAAAAAGACACCAGCAATCCTACCATCAAGTAAAACAATTACAGGTTTCTGTTTTACACTCACTCAGCAGGACGGTAGTACCTCCCTGGGCGGTTGCTGTCTACCAACCTACTACCTATGTGTATTAATATTATCAGCATCATATCTGTGGGGAGTGTGAGCAGGGTAATATTTAGTGAAGGGATTCGGGGAAACCGGTTATTTTTATATAGCCAGACTTGAGTCCTGGAAATGGGAAGTACAATGCCTGCACTCTAAAGGAGGGGTTCAGGATATTGGCAGTTTGGAGGGATATGTTGTGTATCTTTATGCGTATATGCTTCTAAGCCATTGTATCCTGGGCACCTCTGCAAAAAGTGATTGTGTGAGTGAGGTGAAAGTATTGAATTATGATGAAAGTTTTTTCTTTTTAGGGATTTTTTCTTTCTTTTTGGGTCACCCTGCCTCGGTGGGAGACAGCCGACTTGTTGAAAAAAAAAAAATCTGTGGGGAGTGCTCAACCCATAAGGGTCCTACGGCACTTGGGAAACTGGCAGTAACTAGGTTTGACCTGAGGAAGGAGAGGGTAATTTCAATTCCTTGTGTCTTTAAAAGACTTTCACTAGCTTACTTGTGAGAAAGTCGATGCTAAACTTGCTGGAGTATCTGGATAGAAGTTACAGAACATTTTTTCTAGCTGGTAACGTGTGCAGTATCCAATATATTCTTTAACATCAATACGACCTGGCCTTATCAAAGCTGGATCTAACCTGGAATAAAAATCAACAGTTATAAAAACAGTAATTATATAAAGTGATTTTTTTTTTAACACACAGGCTGTCTCCACCGAGGAAGGGTAACTCAAAAAAGAACGAGTTTTCTTCTTTTCACGTCTAGTAGCTTATACAAAAGGAGTTACTATCCCTTTGCTCCTGGCATTTTAGTTGCGTCTTATGATATGCATGGCTTATGGAGGATTCTTCTCCCCTTCCCCATGGAGATATGTGTAAAAAATTTTGTATGGAATGGCAATCTATTGCAGCTGACATTTTTAATAAAATTTGAGATAGTAATATCAATTAGTTATTTGGGACTTTTGAATAAACTGGTGTCATTAAGATCATAATTCAAAAGGTAGTGGATTTTCCAGTTGGTCAAAATCAAAGTATGTACATATGTATTGTAAACTAAGCAAGACTTCCAAAATAGTCACAAATGCGGTTAAGGGTTTGGCTTCATAATAATAAACACAGTACCTGTAATTCTGTAAGTTGCTTAATGCAGTATATTTATGAATGTGCTAAACATAACAAAACTAAACTGAAAAAAAAATAAAAAAGCCAAATTTCACTAAACAATTTTTTTCCAAATTTGATAACGTGCATTGATTTATATGTTCAAGTAATGAATTTAGCTGGCACCAAAATTAACAATCTACTCTAAAGTTGCTAAAATTTATTAAATAAGTTACTTAATACTGCCTAACCTATTTGCGGTCAGACTAAATTTAGTTAAGACTGATTATCAGAACTATTACAACAATGAATTTTTGCTCAACTTCTTTGGCAAAACAATACTTGCTGAATAAACAAACTCAAGGACTGCTGACATCTACTCAGTTATAATTTATGAATTTGTGTTTTACTCCTTAAATTTATAGCTTACCTCTCAGGGTAATTTGTAGTCATAAACAATATTCTTCCTTCTGTTGATGCTACACCATCAAGACAGTTCAAGAGACCACTGAAAGTAAGTCTGTTGAGACCTGCATAAGCCGCTTTTACTGTGACAAAATTAAGAGTTATTACAAAACAATATTTATTGGATCAGTACAATGATTGCAAGGAATACATTAATATACAGTATCATTTGTATATTTATTCTATATTCTTCCCACTTCAAAAGAATAATTCAATATTTCCAAAATTTCAACGAGTCATGAATGACTTTATAAGACAGCGTGTTGAGATGATGGCAATACATTTTGGAATGAATTAATACTCACTTTCTGCACTCTCCTCTCTGCTTGCAAAAGCTGAATCAATATCTTCGAGTAAAATGACAGTATTCTGTAAGACAAATTTGTTACATTCTCATCTCACAACTGCAGATAAAATAATAATAGAAATATGCTCACAATCTGTAGTTAAACAATTCAATTTTAACCCACATTGTAAAGATACTAAAGATTATGTTTCTGTCCATCTTGCCACACTAAAGCCACATGTGAAATGTCATCTCAAGTTCCCTCTCCAATTCTTGGTTAAAAGTAAATTGCTACAGCTATTGAATTGAGATTTTTTTTTTTGTAATTATACAAATACAGTACAAATTTATATAGGTGCAAATTAAGCATCTCATTACATAATTTATACTGGGTGAGCATTTCACGTGGAATGTGCCAAATTTCTATCCATTAAAAAAATCTTGGGAGATGCTTCATGCTTAACCAGGAAGAATGCTTAATATGAGTCATGGCATGATGCTATTATTTTATAATATAATGCCAGAAAGTGACATCAGTGGTGTTATATACATAATTTTTTCATGAAGGCAGTAAATAAAACAAATCAAATGTGGCAAAAACCAGAAGGCACATGTCTGAGCAATTCTGAATCACAAAGTGATACAAGGCTTCCCCCCCCCCCTCCCAGAAAACATGGGTGTTACTGTAGAAAACTATACTGCAGAGAAGAGAATGATGTCTATGGTGCTATGAATGACATGTGCCATGGTCTGATAGAGACAGTAAATTTTTTTTTTTAACAAGTCGGCCGTCTCCTACCGAGGCAGGGTGACCCAAAAAGAAAATACTTTCATCACCATTCAACAGTTTCACCTTACTCTCACACAATCACCGTTTTTGCAGAGGTGCCCAGAATACAACAGTTTAGAAGCATATACATATAAAGATACGTAACATATCCCTCCAAACTGTCAATATCCTGAACCCCTCCTTTAAAGTGCAGGCATTGTACTTTTACAGTAAATACAAATGTGTAAAACAAGAATACACATCCTGTGACATTCCCCAGTTTTGTACTAATGGGCACAAGGTCCCTTTTACATGAAAAACATGATAACAAGAGACTGCTTAAGTAATTTGTTTGAGAGAAGTGCTGATCACAAGGCACATTGTGAATCTTGTTCATTCAACACCTGCTTGATAAAAACACTGATGTGTTGTAATTTCACTGCTGAGAGCCTAATGTTGTGATTTGATAATTTTTAAATCTGTAAACAAGGAAATGTGGAAATAAAAAAAATCATACAGGTGTTCTCTCAGGATAATGAGGGAAACGAGTATACAAATAAAAATGTGGTTTAATAGAAGACTTCTTTTTCTTCCTTTCTTAATGTGGATGATGGCATATGAGACCCCCTTTTAAAGAGATAATATTAATAAATTTCCATGGGGAAATGGAACAGAATTCTTCCTCCGTAAGCCATGCATGTCATAAGAGGTGACTAAAATGCCGGGAGCAAGGGACTATTAACCTCTTCTTTCTGTAATATCTATTTCTACAAGTACATGTACAAGGTATACAGACCTAGCTGACATCAATGACATACTATGATACAAAAAGACCCTTGTTATGCAGAGCATTTCGGGCAAATTAGGTCAATTTTGTCCCAGGATGCGACCCATACCAGTTGACTAATGCCCAGGTACCCATTTTATTGATGGGTGAACAGGCACAACAGGTGTAAGAAATACACCCAATGTTTCCACCCTTACTGGGAATCGAACCACAGACCCTCAGCATGTGAAGCAACAGCTTTTCCTACCAAGCCACGGGCCACTGTGTCAACAGAAATAAAAGATGTTGCCTAAATATTGACAATGCAGCTTCTAGCATACCATATGCATTCTGCATTACTCAATCACCCAGCAATTCATCCCACTCTCACAACTTTAAAGCAGCAGAGACATCATCTGTGTACATTATAGTAATTGTATCACATTATTTTTACTGTATTCTAAATAAGATGAATAATATAAACAAAATTTTGTGTATGCAAAAATTACAAACCTCAGCTGCCATAGCTAATAAGTGATTAAGTCTGTCGTCAGTGAGACCTCGTTCACTGAGGTTCAGAACACAAATTCCTAGTTGTAATTCCCCAGCTAGAGCTGTGATGAAGGAGCTCTTTCCACATCCAGGAGGCCCATGAAGTAAGTATCCACGTCTGTATGGGATTCCTAAGGAAATATAACCGAGATAAATAAGATAATCTCACATGTCTAACAAACTACTTTAATTTAAACAATTTACACTGTACCAGTGTACCTCATAAAAACTTGTTAATAAATACCTTTTACCACAAGAGACAAATTACATGTGTACACTCTTTATCTAGGGATTATGAACTACACATACATATTTTATACCAAGGTGTGCAGAGGTCATCACATGGAAAACACAACCTGATGTTTTTTCATGTGGCCTGCATATACATCAATCATACATACTATTATAATATTCTAGGAGAAGCCAAAACTCACAGAGGTCACAGAGCATCTGAGAAATGGAAGATAATCAAGTATGATCAATGGAAGGGGAGGGTAACTTCAGTGTCTTGAATCCACAGCCTTTCAGTGGCACTTAGGCACCTCTCTCCTGAATAAATTGATATATTTTGTTGCTCCACATACAGGTACAGGTGATCCTTGACTTACAATGGGGTTACTTTCTGATGAACCCATCGTAAGTATAAAATATCATAAGTTGAATATAAATCTATGCTAAATAAATAACTACTGTAACTGAATAAGTAAAGAAACAAATAATTACTGTAACTAACTAAATACCAGTATTGACACGTAAATAAATAAATAAATACAAGTTACGGACTTGCTGCCTTCATGCTGGGTAATTATCTCATATTATATCTCCAAAGTAATTGCTTCTGCACCGCTGTAAAGTTGAAATATCATAAGTCGGACCATTGTAAGTCGAGGAGCAGCTGTATATCACTATACCTGTGATGTCTTCTTCATTCTGGAAATTGTCTTACCATAAGAGAGTAAGAGTAAGTATGTAATGTCTTCATAAATACTTATGCAGTATAAATGAGTCATTACTCAAATGAACACCTTTTATGCAATACCTTATTATTATTATATTTAGGTGGAAGCACTAAATCTACAGGGGTCATACAGCACCTGAGGGAATAGGAGGTTATCAGGTTTGATCCAAGTAAAGGGAGTATAGGTCCAAATCCTTGGATCAAGAACCCTTCATCAGAATTAAGGCACCTCTTTGAAGGGGTTTATGTACTGGTAGTACAGCACATGATTATCCCTAAATTACTATGATTTGAAAAATGAAGATAGGTTGGATATCTCACCTCTGCTTGAGTACCATTCTGGATTATCCATAAATTCCTGAACATCTTTTACAATTCTGTCAGACACTCCATTATCTAACACAACAGAGCTCAGCGGGCGAGGCTTTCGTGGATTGCCAAACTGACGCCAATCAGAACCAACAGCAGTATACATTATAGTTTTACCCTCGTTTTGTTTCACTGCCAAGTCACGAGCTGTAAAGAAAATTTACATATATTTTACTAACTGCAATGATTACATTTTTTAATACTAAATGAATGTTTTATGTCATATGAAAAAAAATTACTGCATCTGGATAACTATCACCTGCCTTCCAAATTGTAGCTTCTGTAAAATAAATTTATCTTCACAATATACTGGTATCTTCCTTTCACCAGTAGAGACAATTACCGTATTTTACAGCACTGAAGGCACTATCTTTTTTCCAAAATAAGTCTCAATAATGTACCCAGCATCTTGGAGGTCGAAGTAACATTTATTGTTTTTTCCAAAGTTTAGCCAATCAGAATCGATGGGGGGGGGGGGGGGGGTCATCCTCGACACCAGAGCATCTTGTTAGCCGCAAAATATGATAGTAGAATTTCTTACTCTATCAAAATAATAGGCCACTTATCAATGTTTATTAATATGCTAACTTTGAGTTACCACGTAATTGTCATACTCCTTTTCCTATGTTTTCTTTGTATATACTCTCTCACTAGAATGAAGTAGCAACAGATCAGTTTATGCCTAATTAATGACCATAATTAATGGTTATAACAGTACAGTATAGCATGGGGTGTCCAGAGAGAATATTGCAGAACATAACACAATTTAATGGAAATTTTTATAATTACCCTCAACGAAATAAACAGAATTAAAATGAATTATATTTGCTAAAAGAAAGCTAAGAAAAGAATGATGGTGAATGTTTTCCCTTCCATAGATCACACTGCCTTGGTGGGAAATGGCTGACTGTTTACAATTTTTTTCTCTATGAAAGAGATTATACAAAGCAATCAGTTGGGCAATTTTATAAACTAATTAGCAAGAACTCTGCACTAACCCTCTTCCAAAATATCAAAGAACAGATCCTTATTCTTGCCAAAGGCTGCGAGTTTAACAGATTCAAATGGAACGCCCATGTGTAGGTCTAATGTTTGCTGTGATCTCGAACGCTCTACCCGGATCCAAGTTCTTTTATACCTGAAAGACAGATTTGTGTTTGTTCACAAGCAATACATATAAGAATTATATTTTTTTCAAATCCACGAATTTGCCCATTAAAATTGTTATTCAATATTACTCAATGACTGTAAGGCAATTTCTCATAACCAACTAATATCACTAAATCAAAAAATGGCAGGTGTAAAATAATCCCACTTTAGAGGAAAATATATATGAAAAAAGTACAATATGAAATGATGTATCCTATATTCAATAATTCACATACCATGGATACTGTACTGTACATTAATATGGACTAGTTTGAGTGTTGTAATTCATATACATGCATTTCAACCCATAAGAATATTACTACACAGTGTTTTGTTAGATAAAATGCAGTTACATAAACAAAGACTGTAATTAATAAGACAAATGACTGATTGGGCAGACTAATGCACATTAAGTCAGCTTCATGATGTATCCTATTACAACTGAGTGAGACTATACAAGAAACTAACAGATGGAAAATTATACCATCAACCAGAGTCCTCGTCTGAGACATGGGTGATAATCAAGACATAATATCGTTGCATGTTAATGAGTAGTCAATTTACCATTGTGTGGTGATGTCATATTCACGGTCAGTAAAAAAGGAAAAATTATTTGATGTCAAAACAATCTGGAGAATTAAAGATAACTTTTTTAGATACTACAACAGTACTAAGGAAAACCAGGTAATGCAATATACATTTTTCGTATCTTAAACAAGTATAATCCATTAAACAAAAAATATCACTTTCATTCTTAAACACTGCAGAACAAGCCACATCTGGATGGAAACGATTCCTTGTAGTAATAGATCAGTTATCTATTAGATATAGTTTTAGGCTAACTAATGCATTTCCTTAGTATTCTGTAACTTGCTTTCTGTAAACCTCTGAGGTGACCACCTCCTCTTACCCTGGAAGGGTGTGAGGGAGCAGAGTACAGGTATTGGGATCAGTGGTGGCCCTCACTCTGTGACAGGGGTTGTCACTGATACCTTCTGCCTAGCCTCAGAGAATTTCCCCTCCTATCTGTTGCTGGCTTGCAATATTGCACAGCTCCTTACAATGCACAAGAGTGCAAAAGATCTAGAGCTAAAGATTTCCATCCCCATGTGACTTGTTCTGCATTGTTAAGTAAAAGGACAAGTGTACTAATGCAACATTTTATTGTGGTAATGTTTTGCTCTCCAAGAGTGTGAAACGTTGCCACAATAAAATGTCACATTAGTTGCATTTGTGTCCTTTTACTTACCATATTGTCAGTAATTGTACCAACATTAATACATAATTAAGATTGCCTGTTTGCGATTGTATTACATTCTTCAACATACATACTGCAATGAAGGCATATATTGTGTATATAAATGGGTAAAATAAGAGTTTTAGTAGAAAAGAACCAAAATCCAAAGGAAAATTCAATGAATTTTGTCTTATTTAATATCATTCTACATTTTAAAATTAAATAATGAATTTGGAAATGACCCACAGTATGAGAAACATGATTCTGTGAATAGAAGAAAATACTGACTTTTAATTTAAAAAATAAATATAATTTAAAAAAATTCTGAAAAAGGGAATATTTCCAAAATTTCATTTCACAATACAATTTCCTACAAAATTTTGATACGAAAAAAGTAAAAACTTAGAATTTAAATTTGAAAAATCTATTTCAGATCTTTTAATGAATTACAATTTTTTTTATTATGGTTATTCAAGATATTCTAAGCTGTAACTGGAACCCTCTGTGCAGGCCTACTGGTGTAGCTGCGAAGGCTTATTTTACTAACACCTACATAACCACAGACTTTCTGCATGGACAACCAAATGTCACCCATCTCTATATAAACACTGTATCATGCTGAAATAAAATATTATTACAGTGGTCCCCCCATATCTGTGGGGATACATTCCAAGACCTACCATAGATACATGAAACCGCGCACAGTAGTGAACCCTATACACAAGTCATTTTTCATTTACATACATACCTATGATAAAGTTTAATTGATAAATTGAGCAAAATAAGTCTAGAATTAGCACTTTTCACTAATGGAAAACATTTCACAGCTTCTCTTTGGCTATGAAGAACTGTCAGCATCACTACTTTTACTCCTTGGCGCCATTATTAAGCAAAATGAAGGGTTATTTTTGGGCCACAGTAAACTGTAGATAACTGAAACCATAGATACAGAATCTGTGGATATGGGGGTCCTATTGTATTATTAAAATTTAATAAATAGGTGAATATTTTCTGTACGGTATATACAATACATGCTCTCTGCCAACTATTGAACCACAAACCTCACGTACCTAACATTTAATAAAACCAGCTGCAATACAGATGCACAAGAGTAAGTGTTAGCAGCTGTCACCAGCAGAAAAGCACACAAGCTTCATGGGTTAAATACCACTACAACTTTGACACTCTTTAAATCAAAGAACAGATGGGACTTGAACCCATGGCAAGTGGTTTGTTTGCAATCATGTTATTAGGATTTCCTGAGTCTTGGTACCAGTGTGGCGGTGGTAGTGACAATACCGGAGATATGCCAATATCAGTGTATGCTGTATGTGATACAATAGGCAAGTCCACTGAAAAATAAGGAAATATGCAGGTGCAGTTATCCCAGGAAACTGACATACAGTGAAAGGCTAAAATACATTTGGAGATCAATCAAAGGACCCCAACGGAAATAAGTCACTGACTTTTTTTGGGTTATCCCAATTTCTCTACACAAATGCTGCTATGTATGATAATCTATGTAACTGTATTTGTGTATACCTGAATAAACTTACTTAAGTGGGATGAATAAATGCCCTACTGCTCAATGCAAGCCATCTTATGAACAACTATGTGAGGTGTGTGGCATCACTGGTAGCCCCCTCACCCCCTCCCTCCACCAAGACATCCTTCTCAAGTCTACACCTAGGAATTAATACTTTAATTTATAACTACATGAATTTATGCCTGTACTCATAATTTATATGTTCTTACTATGGATGAACTCTCAGTTTGAATTTTACTGTATGGCCACATATTATACAGCATCTCTTCACTTAACGACATACTCATTTACCGATGACTTGGACTTACGATGGGCTCTCTGACCAGTATGCATACCTACCTAAATAATGTATATTTGAGCTGATTTCCTCTATTCTGTTTATTACAATATACAGCACACTATTGTATAAACATTTAAAAATATACTAAAAATGTTATAAATGGTACAAAGGTGACATTACAACAAAATCAAAGATGCTTGACACAAACCCACTGTACCATTATAGTAGCTCCTTGCTTACCTGGAATTTACCTGGAGGGGGTGTCAGGGGTCAATGCCCCCATGGCCCAGTCTGAGACCAGGCCTCATGGTGGATCAGGCTGTTACTGCTGGCCGCATGCAAGCTGACGTACGAACCACAGCCCGGTTGGTCAGGTACTGACTTTAGTTGCCTGTCCAGTGCCTTCTTGAAGACAGCCAGGGGTCTATTGGTAATCCCCCTTATGTATGCTGGGAGGCAATTGAACAGTCTTGGGCCCTGGACACTTATTGTGTTGTCTCTCAGTGTACTCGTGATGCCCCTGCTTTTCATTGGGGGAATGTCGCAACTCCTGCTGAGTCTTTTGCTTTCATAGGGAGTGACTTTTTTTGCAGGTTTGGTACCAATCCCTCCAGGACCTTCCAAGTGTATATTAACATGTATCTCTTTCGCCTGCATTCGAGGGAATACAGATCAAGGACCTTCAACTGTTCCCAGTAGTTTAGGTGCCTTATCGTACTTATGTGTACTGTGAAAGTTCTTTGTACACTCTCCAGGTCTGCAATGTCGCCAGCCTTGAAGGGGGCCATTAGTGTACAGCAGTATTCCAGCCTAGAGAGCACAAATGATTTGTAGAGAATTATCATGGGCTTGGCATCCCTAGTTTGAAGGTTCTCATTATCCATCCTATCATTTTCCTAGCAGATGAGGTAGATACATTGTTGTGGTCTTTGAAGGAGAGATCCTCTGACATTATCACTCCCAGTTCCCTCACATTACTTTTCCGCTCTATTGTATGGTTAGAATTTGTCATATACCCTGACACATTTTTAATTTCTTCAAGCTTCCCATATCTGAGTAGTTGAAATTTCTCCTCATTGAACTTCATATTGTTTTGAGTGACCCATTCGAAGATTTGGTTGATGTCCGCTTGGAGTCTTGTGGTGTCTTTGATGGAGGTCACTGCCATGGTAATCCGGGTGTCATCCGCAAAGGAAGACATGGAGCTATGGCTTACATCTCTGTCTATGTCAGAAATGAGGATGAGGAATAGAATGGGAGCAAGTACTTTTTACCATGGCTGCATGGCTGCTTTACTCTGTTTACTATTACTCTTTGTGTTGTTCTATTTGTCAGGAAATTGACAAATTTGTTTACCAACGTGGTCTTAGAAATGGAACTCTGTCATTATGTGAGGAGAGGGTGTAGTATACAGTATATAATTAACCTTGTGTTTAAAAAAAAATACAGAACTGTATTTACTAATCAGCAAAGATTTAGATTTAAGCCCTTTTTATGCAATAACTAAAACAGAAGATAATCTCATCTTGTATTAAAAGTCTCTACCATCCTTTATAAAGTATGCTTAAATAATAAGGATAATGTTATTTTACTATAATAAAGTCAAATTCCCTCTTACAGTGAAGTTCGATCACCTAAAATTAATCGTTAGCTTTTATTTTAAAGTTCCACTGCTATATTTTTATGCTTAAAACTTCATTTTACTGTTTAATGAATTTCTGTCTGACCAAAAAAAATTTTAATTTGAAATTTCTGCAATAGAAAATGAAACTTAAAATATTTATGTAGAGTAAGCTCCAAAAGACCAACCACTATTGTTCCTGTACAATATATATTTTTTGTTTTCTCATACTGCAGATGGTTGAATTTTGATTCCATAATTGTAACCAAGTTTCCTTTGCTATAAGTTATCAACCTTTCTAAATAATAATATATTATAGCATAGGTTCTGGTACCCTATCACTAGTAACATTTCCATTCAAATGTTTTTTCAATACGTTTATTTATATTTTTGTTTCTCATTTTAGCCTTAGTAAAAACTCTGTTTGTGTATGCAATCCCATTATAGAATAAACTGTTTAATATTGTAGATGGGGGAAACAGAATACGTACTATATTTACAGAAATAGGAATGATTTTTTTTTATGGTAAGAGCTTGGACATCCAACAGGCTTGTGTGTGCTAATTAGACAGAAGTGAGTAGAGGCAGGGTGTGGCATGCAAAGAGTACGTAACCTTTATTCGGCGCATGTACACACCCTCATTTACAGGCTATCTCCCCCAACCAGCGAACCAGGTTGCTAAGAGTTGATGATGAGGCCCCGTCGTTCAACTAGTGACCAGGTTCTAGCCAATAAGAAGATGGTTTTGGCAATCGCAGAGGTTATGTGGGTACCACTCTCCTGTCTGCCCTTGTCATTCCCATTCTAGAGCTGGTTGAAGCACGGTCTGCTATCTTGTGGCTTCTATTTCTGCCTTGCTTACTGTGAAGTGCACTATACTTATCACTGTACATAGTGTACATATTGCTGTTCTAAATTGGTGAAGGATAATATAAGTCTAAACTTTTTCTGCTGTGTTTATTTTGCTCCCATTACACCCGGGATAACAGGCCATTTGGAATCCTGGGTTGTAATACAGGGTGTTTTTATGATTTGATGTGCTGTTGGAGTGTGAGCAAGATAACATGTATGAAGGGATTCATGGAAACTGGTTAGCCAGACTTAGAGTCCTGGAAGGGAGAGGTAAAGTGCCTGCACTCTGAGGAAGGGGTGTCAATGTTGCAGTGTGCTTATCAGTGCAATATCAGTGTGCTTCTGGGAAGACTGATTTCATTGAATGACAGTGAAAGTGTATTCTTTTTTTATCAGGTTTCCTTACCTTTGTGGGAGACCAACAGTATGTACTTCTGTAACAGTCTGTATTCTGAGCAGCTCTTCAACAGAGGTTTTAAACATTAATCCTTATGATATGTAGACATTATTAATATTTTTTTCAATGCACCAGCTGTTGGAACATTAATCCTCACGATTTTTTTTTTTAACAAGTTGGCCGTCTCCCAACGAGGCAGGGTGACAAAAAAAGAAAATCCCCAAAAAGAAAATACTTTCATCATCATTCAACACTTTCACCTCACTCACACAAAAATCACTGTTTTTTGCAGAGATGCCCAGAATACAACAGTTTAGAAGCATATACATATAAAGATACACAACATATCCCTCCTAGGCCTATACCTCGACAACAACCTGAATTTCAGTACCCATTTCCAACACATAATCCTCTCGAAGATATGATACTCTGTGCCGCACACTGCCCTTCTCACACTATACCATTCACTCCTTTATCTATACCTCGCCTATGCTATTTGTGCTTGGGGATCAACTGCAGCAATACACGTAAAGCCAATAATAACCCAACAAAAAGCTGCAGTAAGAATAATCACTAAATCCCATCCTTGGCAACACCCTCCCCCCCCCTATTCATAGATCTAAACTTACTCCCCATTCAGAGTATCCACACTTACTACTGTGCAATCTACATCTACAGAACCTTAAATTCCAATATTAACCTTGACCTAAAATGCTTTCTTGATAGTTGTGACAGGACCCACAGGCATAACACCAGACACAAACATCTCTATGACATTCTCTGTGTCCGACTAAACCTTTACAAAAATTCTATGTATGTCAAAGGGCCTAAAATCTGGAACACTCTACCTGAAAGCTCTAGAACTGCAGACACATTCATTGCCTTCAAAACTACCGTTAGACAACATCTTATCTCTCTGATACACCCCGACAACTAACTACATGAAAACCATCTGTTCACACTTACACTCACTCACCCATTTGACTATAATCACAGAAATACGAATCTTAATCATAAAATAATGAATCCTAACTAGTCATAAGTTTGCCTGTGATACTACAATATATTACCTGTGTATTGTGCCAAAACAAAAGCATTTACATTGCTAAACTCACAAACTACAATGTAGTCACTTAGCCTTAATACCAGCTTACTCCATAATCTGTATTAATTTAGAGTTAAGAATTAATCTAAGTCTGCCCGACATGCCTAGCCATGCTATGTGTCCTAGTGGCCCCCCTCTGTAATTAGTATTTTATAACATGCAAACCACACAATATCCAAAATCTGTAAACCCCGCATTGTAATCTTTACAGAGAATAAACTTGATTGATTGATTCATTGAAACTGCCAATATCCTGAACCCCTCCTTTAGAGTGCAGGCATTGTACTTCCCATTTCCAGGACTCAAGTCCGGCTATATAAAAATAACCAGTTTCCCTGAATCCCTTCACTAAATATTACCTTGCTCACACTCCAACAGCTCGTCAGGTCCTAAATACCATTTGTCTCCATTCACTCCTATCGAACACACTCACACACGCCTGCTGGAAGTCTAAGCCCCTCGCCCACAAAACCTCCCTTACCCTTTCCTTCCAACTTTTTCGAGGATGACACCTACCCTGCCTTCCTTACCCTACAGATTTATACGCTCTCCATGTCATTCTATTTTGATCCATTCTCTCTAAATGACCAAACCACCTCAACAACCCCTCTTCAGCCCTCTGACTAATACTTTTATTAACTCCACACCTTCTCCTAATTTCCACACACCGAATTTTCTGCATAATATTTACACCACACATTGCCCTTAGACAGGACATTTCCACTGCCTCCAACCGCCTCCTCGCTGCTGCATTTACAACCCAAGCTTCACACCCATATAAGTGTGTTGGTACTACTATACTTTCATACATTCCCTTCTTTGCCTCCATAGATAATGTTTTTTTGCCTCCACATATACCTCAATGCACCACTCGCCTTTTTTCCCTCATCAATTCTATGATTAACCTCATCCTTCATAAATCCATCCGCTGACACGTCAAGTCCCAAATATCTGAAAACATTCACTTCTTCCTTATGATATGCAGATATTATTATGATTATTTTTTTTCAACGTGCACACCAGCAGTCTCCAATCGAGGCAGGTTGACTCTAAAAGAAAAATGAAAGCTTTCCTTTTTACATGTAGTAATATATACAGAAGGGGTTACTAGCTCCTTGCTCCTGATTATTATTATTATTATTAATATCATACTGATGGAAAGGGCAAACCTTTTAAGGGTCATATGACATTACATGGTAAGAGTTGAAAAGGGATGGTAGAGAGGGAGAGGTTAAAGATCCATGATGCCCTGTAGACTAACATGTATACACACCTTCACAAATGATATCACGAAAGAGTTGCTTTTGATTGCCAAATGAAGTAAAGGTAACATTCTCCCAGGGAGTGCCATGCTGCAGATCTAAAGTATGCTGTTCTCTTGTGCGTTCCACTTTTAGCCAAGCCCCGCCATACCTGGTGGTAATGCCCCAGCACAGTTGTGAATGTTGTGCAATATAAGGTAAGATAATATGTGCACTTACTGCATTAATGTATTACACTAAATACAACTACTTTTGCCCTTCTGTATAAATAAAGTGTAAAGTTTCTTTATACCATAATTTAAATAGAAATAGGAAGATATCAAAATAAAGTACAGTATTTTGTAAATCAACAGGAATTGGCAATACAAAACAATGGGTTAACCTGAAGATTAGCCCCTTCCTTTCTTCAAGAAAACAAACTAAAGTAAGCAAATTCTTAGAAACCTAAAGTAAATAAAGCTAATTTATATTGCATAATTTTAGCATAGTAAGGTTACCATTGGTTGCTTTGTAAAATTTAGTATATAAAAAATTTGCCTGATTTTAATTAACTGTTTTCCTGGGGAGGGGGACTCTCTGGGTGATCAACACAATGAATGCACATTATTTTTAGGAGGAAGCGCTAAGCCCTTAGCATTCATTCGGTGCCTGAAGGACTAAGAAGCAATCTGATTCAATCCAAAGAAAGAGAAGTCCAATTCCTTGAATCAACAGCTCCTCACTAACATCAAAGCAACTCCCTTGTGGGGTCAATGAATTCACAATAGAGTGACAGTTAATGAAAATAAAAACCGAGAGTGCATACATATTTTCAACATGTAAGAAGCTTAGAAAAACACTGAAGCGATCAAGGAAGCTAGGTAGAAGACATCCTACATTATACGAGATATTTACTAAAACAAAACATGCTGGTGCTGCCTTAGTGTGCATAATGATTTTTTTTTTCATCAGTAAAGAAACATCCATGCTAAGTAACAATGTTGCATCAGCAAAATAAATGGTTGAGCAACAAACTGTCCTTAGAAAACCAACTTCTATTAATTTTCAAATCAAATATTAAAAAGTCTGCTCTTCAGGGTGAATATAGTACAGTACGTACTTTATTCCTGGTATCCACTTTGGTATTATTTTATAAGTGAAATCTTCCAAAATTGACGTGATTGGCCCCTAGTTAGTCAGAGCATTTTGGGCAACTTAGTTTATCTCGTCACCCCAGTGCTGTGTTGCTATTTAGTGTATCACTATTATGGTGTCATTTTAGTTGACATATCAATAAATAACAATTTCCTCAACATTATCGATATGTATATGCTATGGTAAGTGTGTATTGTTGATAGGGTTGTCATGTGAATAAAATACATAATGACCAATTTCATTCTACGAAAAGATCTGCAGGTTTAATCCCATTTTATTCAATTCACAATCGAAATCGCAAAATATCTTGTCACAAAGTACAAGTAAAAATCTTCCACTTACCAGAAAAAGTGTTCTCCGACACTGGGTATAAAATCATGACGAGTAGTAATTTTCCCTGTCTCTATCTGCTGAAACTTTGTCTCTACACTAAGATGTTGAGTTTTCCTAGCACCTTTAAGGGTAATCCACTGAAGCAGCCACTGATATGACTTATCACGGCAGGGAACTTCAAGGGTAGTCATGTAGTGGCGCCGGAATAGGATCATTCCCATCTATTATAAAGATGGAATGACAAATGGAAAAATATTATTGCATGGAAATACAAGGACTCAAATGGAAATAAGTTAGTTTGTTTGACATATAAATATATGAGTTATCCTAGGTAATTTATGCTATGTGTAATAATTATACGTATGTGTACCTGTGCAACTTTATGCGAAAATCTTGCAAGGCTTATACAGTGAATGAGGATGGAAAGGGAGGGTTAATTCCAATTACTTGGATCAACAGCCATTTGAACTTGGACCAGTTAATGGTCTAGTTAATGAACTTGGACCAGTTAATGGTCCAAGTCAAACTGAAACATCGTGATAAGTTTCATTCTCCCATTTGCGAGTTATTTGTGTAGTGTTTCACTGGCTTACCATGTATCCCTTCCTTAGTACTGCTGCTCCAGCTCCAACGCCAAACAAGCCAAAGCCAGCACTGAAGTAAGGGTTTTCTGATAACGACGAAATCAACTCTTGCAGACCCATTGCTGCGCCGATATCAACAGTTCCTGAAATAATAATAAATCTGATTATGGTCAGTTGCAGTTAACTCATTCTGAGAGAGAAATTATTTCATCATAATCATGGGGGAGGGCTAAACCCATAGGGATTATACAACGCCCATGAAGGGTGGGGGGCAGTTGGAAAGCATTCAGGCCTAATTCAAGGGATTGGATTATTATTATTTGATTTGATTCAGGGGACTGGAGCACAGATCCAATTTCCTAGATCAAGAGCTCCTCACCTGCATCAAGGAACCTCCCTTGTGGGGTCTATTATGGGGAGCACTAAACCAATAGAGATTATACAGCGCATATGGGTGGGATGGAAAGCACTCAGGCTTAATTCAGGGAACTGGAGCACAGATCCAATTCCCTAGAACAAGAGCCCCTCACCAGCATCATTATTATTATTATAATCAAAAAGAAGCGCTAAGCCACAAGGACTATACAGCTCACCAGCATCAAAGACCCTCCCTTGAGGTGTGGGGGGGGGGTCTGAAAGAGAAATGTCCGAAATGCCCCAGCACGTTAGTGGCTTTTTTTATTTGTACTTAACACTTTAAAAATGTAAATCACATATTGTACCTTTGCAAATTAATAAAATTTGTATTTGTATTGTAAAATCTGGTCCGAGTACAGTGTTTCTTCCTCACGATGTGTGTCAGCATTTAGTTATTTCTTCTCCTCCGGATAAATAAGTTTCCTCTACTTGACGATGAAGCACTGTATGACCCTTGTGGGTTTAGGGTTTAGTTTTGATTGTAGTCATAATAATAATCATCTACTTCACGATACTTGCAGTAAATTTTTCATGACGGTTGTTATTGTTGTTGGGAGTTTTGAAGGTCACTGAAACTTACATCTTATTTGAGACTCCAGCTCAAATTAATTTTTTTATTCTTTGCAAAATTTACAATGTGTGACTGACATGTTATCAACTATATTATTGGTCATCATATATAATAATTATATTACTGGTATCCCATCCATTAATTATAAAATTGGTATCCCATATATCAACTATATGATTGGTCATCAGGTCTATTAGGTATATTATTGGTATTTACCTGGAGAGAGTTCCGGGGGTCAACGCCCCCGCGGTCCGGTCTGTGACCAGGCCTCCTGGTGGATAAGAGCCTGATCAACCAGGCTGTTACTGCTGGCTGCACGCAATCCAATGTACGAGCCACAGCCCGGCTGGTCAGGTACCGACTTTAGGTGCTTGTCCAGTGCCAGCTTCAAGACTGCCAGGGGTCTGTTGGTAATCCCTCTTATGTATGCTGGGAGGCAGTTGAACAGTCTCGGGCCCCTGACACTTGTATTGTCTCTTAACGTGCTAGTGACACCCCTGCTTTTCATTGGGGGAATGTTGCATCGTCTGCCGAGTCTTTTTCCTGTAACTTAACTATATTACTGGTCATCTTATAACTTAACTATATTATTGATCTTCCCGTCTATTAAGCATGTTATTGGTATTCTGTAACTTAACTATATTATTGGCCAACCCGTATATTAAGTACAGGTATCCCGTATATTAAGTATATTATTGGTATCCTCTAACTTAACTATAATACTGGTCGAACCGTCTACAAATTTAAGGTACGAGTCTCGTCAGAGTAACTATATTAACAATCTCGCGGCTTTTTCCTAGTACCTTAAGCGTATTTTTCTAGAGGAAAGAAAAGGTTTTCTCGATGGCAAAAGTGGAAGGACTTAAAGAAGACTTCGATCACTTCACTATGGCTGCCAATGGACAAGAACTGTCTGGTGGCATGAAGAGGCCTCGCTCCACAACTCCTCTCACTGCACCTTCCAAAAAGCCAAAATTGGATGAGAATGTCCTCCAGGAGAAGAGTACCGAACCATGGAAGCATTGCTGTCCCCCAGACAGTGAAGCAAAAACAGGTGGAGACACCTCTAGCGATACTGTTATCCCCGTGTTATCCTGGAGCAGCCTTGACATGAAGACAAAACTTGGTAGAGGGGCATATGGAGAGGCATGGGCAGCTCTCTTAAAACAAGATGATGGCTCCGCTACCAAGGTCGTCGTCAAGAAGCTCTTCGACGACGTTTATCTGAAAGAAGCTGTTAAGGAAGCCAGAGCTCTTCTCAAGGTTGATGGCGCCGGTGGAGCTCCCAAACTTTATGGCATGATTTACGATCCTTTAGGTATTGTCATGTCCCGCTGCCCCGGAGTAACTTTCGCAAAATTTATAGGAAAAAATTCCGCTGAAGATTGCTTTAAGGCATATAAAGCTGCTATAAGAGCATTAATGGATTTTCACCAGACCGGTTTTGCCCATAATGACATAACAGAATCAAATATAATGATTAGAAAACAAGGTCAGGATTACGTAGCGCATCTTATTGACCTCGGCCTCGCCGTAGATAGAACATTAAAACCCAAACTTCATAAGATGAAAATTAAAGAAGATAAAAGTCGTCTAAAAGAAATTCGTGGCTTTATCATGCAAGACAAAAACATCAGACAACAGTGAGTTGTCAAACCCACGATCAAGATGTTATGAAACCCAGGATCAAGATTCTACCTTGAGTTATCAACCCCAGAATCAAGATTCTACATTGAGTTATGAAACCCAGGATCAAGATTCTACATTGAGTTACCAAACCATCAAGAAACTACTCCACCTGCCTAATTGGAGACAAAGCCAGAGTCTGTACAGGATATCTTCGACTGGGAAACAGAGTATAATATCGACCTAGAAGCTCTCCTTCAGTGAACCAATCGTTCACTACCTTCAGGGACGCCATCACTCGTAGTGATCAAGAACAACTACATCCACTAAAGAAGACCACCAAGTATATGAGGATATTTTCACGAATTAAAAAGTTTATTTTTTTAAGTTTTAAAGAAGGTAATATTATTATTTTTTTTAAGTGAAAGGACTGATTTTAGTTGAGGTGATAGTAACAATAATTATATATTGGAGTTTGACTGTGTGAATAGTGCAGCTTAAGTGCTTTAGAAATAATGACGTGTATGGTAGTGTTTTATGGTGACGTGTATGGTAGTAATGTATGGTGATGTGTATGGTAGTATTGTATGGTGACGTGTTTGGTAGTGCTGTTTGGTGACGTGTATGGTAGTGATGTATGGTGACGTGTATGGTAGTTGTATGGTGACGTGTATGGTGGTTGTATGGTGACGTGTATGGTGGTGATGTATGAAGACGTGTAAGGTAGCATTGTATGGTGGCGTGTATGGTAGTGATGTATGATAATTTATATGGTGACGTGAATGGTAGTGATGTATGGTGAAGTGTAGTGTTATATGGTGACGTGTATTGTAGTTTTGTATGGTAGTGCCGTATGGTGACATTGTGACGTGTATGGTAGTGTAGTAGTGATTTGTAGTGATGTATAGTTAGTAAGTAGGTACCTGGGTGTTATTGGACTGGTGTGGGTCACATCCTGGCGACATAATTGACCTAATTTACCTGAAATGCTCTGCATAACAAGTGCTGTCTATATAGTATGTCAGCTAGGTCTGTACACGTACTTGTGGAAATAAATATTATTATTATTACTGGGTGCAACGACTGCCCAGATCTGGGCAGGTAATGGAAAGGAGACAAGTTTCCTCAAAATATGAAAAACATATTCGAAATTAGGTCAGGTGGACCCCGATGGTTAAACCCTGACAAAGCCAGACGTCCATACCTCGTCTCTGGTTGAGTCAACAACAACAGATTTCTCCGAAGGTTATTCATATCGTCCCGACCAAGTGCTCACTTGCTTATGATGAGGACAAGCTTTCTGGGAAGAAAATAATTAAAATTCCTAACAGATGCTCCAGGCAGAGGTAGAGCGAGACATCTACTCTTTACGAAGGCTGGCGCAGAAGTGTGATCCAAAATGAATGGAAGCGTGATCTTTGTTTTTGTTGGGTTTAAAGGGCCACTGACAGCCGTTACCGTAACCTGTTGAGGGAGTTAAGACGGTCACAAACACCTCAACCGGTGTTGAGCTCTTTTTCTCGGTGTCCGGGAAGTTATCTTTCCAAAGCTGAGCGATGAAAGGAAAATGATCAAGCGTTTCCTCTGAAAACAGGAACTAGAAATGCCCAATTATGTCAGCTGATGTCCTTTACGTATTATTATTATTATAATAAAAAAAGAAGCGCTAAGCCACAAGGACTATACAGCGGTGTCCTTTACGTAAGCTGATCAAGGCATCAACATTTCTACCCGAGTCAGTAGCTAGTTTAACACTGTATCTTTGCAAAGAAATAAAATTTGTATTTGTATTGTAAAATCTGGTCCGAGTACAGTGTTTCTTCCTCACGATGTGTGTCAGCATTTAGTTATTTCTTCTCCTCCGGATAAATAAGTTTCCTCTACTTGACGATGCAGCACTGTATGACCCTTTTGGGTTTAGGGTTTAGTTTTGATTGTAGTAATAATAATAATCATCTACTTCACGATACTTGCAGTAAATTTTTTCATGACGGTTGTTATAGTTGTTGGGAGTTTTGAAGGTCACCGAAACTTACATCTTATTTGAGGCTCGAGCTCAAATTCAAATTTTTATTATTTGCAAAGTTTACAATGTGTGACTGACATGTTATCAACTATATTATTGGTCATCATATATATTAATTATATTACTAGTATCCCATCCATTAATTATAAAATTGGTATCCCATATATCAACTATATGATTGGTATCCCATATATCAACCATATTATTGGCCATCCCGTGTATTAAGTATATTATTGGTATCCTGTAACTTAACTATATTTTTGGTATCCTGTAACTTAACTATATTATTGGTCACCTTATAACTTAACTATATTATTGGTCAACCTATATATTAAGAATATTACTGGAATTCCGTAAATTAACTATATTATTGATCTACCTGTCTATTAAGCATATTATTGGTATTCTGTAGCTTAACTATATTATTGGTCAACCCGTATATTAAGTACTGGTATCCCGTATATTAAGCATATTAATGGTATCCTCTAACTTAACTATAATACTGGTCGTACCGTCTACAAATTTAAGGTACGAGTCTCGTCAGGGTAACTATATTAACAATCTCGCGGCTTTTTCCTAGTACCTTAAGCGTATTTTTCTAGAAGAAAGAAAAGGTTTTCTCGATGGCAAAAGTGGAAGGACTTAAAGAAGACTTCGGTCACTTCACTAAGGCTGCCAATGGACAAGAACTGTCTGGTGGTATGAAGAGACCTCGCTCCACAACTCCTCCTCTCACTGCACCTTCCAAAAAGCCAAAATTGGATGAGAATGTCCTCCAGGAGAAGAGTACTGAACCATGGAAGCATTGCTGTCCCCCAGACAGTGAAGCAAAAACAGGTGGAGACACCTCTAGCGATACTGTTATCCCCGTGTTATCCTGGAGCAGCCTTGACATGAAGACAAAACTTGGTAGAGGGGCATATGGAGAGGCATGGGCAGCTCTCTTAAAACAAGATGATGGCTCCGCTACCAAGGTCGTCGTCAAGAAGCTCTTCGACGACGTTTATCTGAAAGAAGCTGTTAAGGAAGCCAGAGCTCTTCTCAAGGTTGATGGCGCCGGTGGAGCTCCCAAACTTTATGGCATGATTTACGATCCTTTAGGTATTGTCATGTCCCGCTGCCCCGGAGTAACTTTCGCAAAATTTATAGGAAAAAATTCCGCTGAAGATTGCTTTAAGGCATATAAAGCTGCTATAAGAGCATTAATGGATTTTCACCAGACCGGTTTTGCCCATAATGACATAACAGAATCAAATATAATGATTAGAAAACAAGGTCAGGATTACGTAGCGCATCTTATTGACCTCGGCCTCGCCGTAGATAGAACATTAAAACCCAAACTTCATAAGATGAAAATTAAAGAAGATAAAAGTCGTCTAAAAGAAATTCGTGGCTTTATCATGCAAGACAAAAACATCAGACAACAGTGAGTTGTCAAACCCACGATCAAGATTCTACCTTGAGTTATGAAACCCAGGATCAAGATTCTACCTTGAGTTATCAACCCCAGGATCAAGATTCTACATTGAGTTATGAAACCCAGGATCAAGATTCTACCTTGAGTTATCAAACCATCAAGAAACTACTCCACCTGCCTACTTGGAGACAAAGCCAAAGTCTGTACAGGATATCTTCGACTGGGAAACAGAGTATAATATCGACCTAGAAGCTCTCCTTCACTGAACCAATCGTTCACTACCTTCAGGGACGCCATCACTCGTAGTGATCAAGAACAACTACATCCACTGAAGAAGACCACCAATTATATGAGGATATTTTCACGAATTAAAAAGTTTATTTTTTTAAGTTTTAAAGAAGGTAATATTATTATTTTTTTTAAGTGAAAGGACTGATTTTAGTTGAGGTGATAGTAACAATAATTATATATTGGAGTTTGACTGTGTGAATAGTGCAGCTTAAGTGCTTTAGAAATCATGACGTGTATGGTAGTGTTTTATGATGACGTGTATGGTAGTAATGTATGGTGATGTGTATGGTAGTATTGTATGGTGACGAGTTTGGTAGTGCTGTTTGGTGACGTGTATGGTAGTGATGTATGGTGACGTGTATGGTAGTTGTATGGTGACGTGTATGGCGGTTGTATGGTGACGTGTATGGAGGTGATGTATGAAGACGTGTATGGTAGCATTGTATGGTGGCGTGTATGGTAGTGATGTTTGGTAATTTATATGGTGACGTGAATGGTAGTGATGTATGGTGAAGTGTAGTGTTATATGATGACGTGTATTGTAGTTTTGCATGGTAGTGCCGTATGGTGACACTGTGACGTGTATGGTAGTGTAGTAGTGATTTGTAGTAATGCATAGTTAGTAAGCAGGTACCTGGGTGTTATTGGACTGGTGTGGGTCACATCCTGGCGACATAATTGACCTAATTTGCCTGAAATGCTCTGCATAACAAGTACTGTCTATATAGTATGTCAGCTAGGCTTCGTTGTGCGGCCATAATACCAACACTGAGCGCCCCGCCCTGGCTCAGTCTGGGGTCTCAAGGGAGGGCAGTGCCCTACCCTTGCCTTACAGGGTCGCTCCCTCAGGAGAGGGCGAAACCCGCAGGGGTTACACTCAACCTAAGTTACTCCAATCATTTTTCTTTCAATGGTAAGGACATGATCCTTGCCTCCCTCTCCAGGGCTCGAACCCTTCTTCTTATAGAGGGTCTTACTCTCGTCGTGGCTGTCCTTTTCTGTCTGCCTCCGGTTTTTTCTGCGGTGGGCAGGGACGCTCTCGTACTCCGTTGCCTTGGAACATACTACAACCCTCTCCCTTGTGCCTTACTATCTAGTAGTGTGGAAGGCTCCTCGGAGACTACCACCTCTTCTCGTACTGTGGTCTCTGTGTCTCGTAGTAGAACCCGCCGTCACGGTCCCATGGCCCTCTGTGGTCGTCCTGCTGTCTGGTCGGGGCGCGGGGGCGATTCTCGTTCCTCTGGTCCCTGGGTCGGCGAGGTTTTTGCTGAGCATACCTGGGGAGAGGGGATAGAGGGGGTATTTTTACCTTGTTTGTTTGAGCTCTGTCCAAACTCCAGTCTCAACGTCCCTGGGGTCTTCTGTCCCTGTCTCTGGGCTGCCCGGCTGTCCTTCCTGGTTGTCTGTCCACTGCTCTCTCGTCCCTCCATTCCTGGTTTCTCCTGCTGTAGTGGTTTTCCCTGTTCCATTGTCGCTGGTAGTTCCTGTCCCTCCCTTGCTGCTGGTAGGGGCGGGGGTTCCTGGTCCCTGGGGATCGTCCCTGGTGTCCCTGGTTTCTGGCTGGATGATCTCCCGTCTTCCATTCGTCCTCGTCCCTGTCCCTTGGGTCTCGTTCTCTGGATCGTCTGGAATTCTGAAAAGAGAACTGCACAAGGTTAGGGGCTACGGTGGGAGCTCCAGCTCCTGGTTCAGCGGCTGCTGGCGGTCTGTCTGCTAGAGCTTGTACTAGCTCCCGGACCCCTCTGACCAGGTGTCGAATCTCTGTCTGTCCTGGGGTTGCTGCTCCCTGCTGGGCTGTCCGTCCTTTCACTTTTCTGTCCTCTGTCGACTGCTGTCTCTGTAGTCTCGGCGGCTGTTGGTGCTGTTCCCTGGGCGCCTGGCGTGCTCCCCTCGCTGTCCGTGCTAGGTGGGGAAGGGCGGCCTCCCTTTCGTCCCTAGCTGGTCCCTGTTGCTCCGTCCTCGCTTCCACCTCTTCCTCTGTCGGTTGAGGAGGTCCTACAGCTTCGTCCTCTATCTCGGGGCTTCCCTCGTCTGCTCCCGTCCCTGGGTCGTCCTCGTCATCCTGCGAAAAAAGAAGAGACGGGAAAAGGGTGGGGGGGGAGGAGGGGGAGGAAGGAGAGGGTAAGGTGCTGTGGTAGGGGCAGGGACTATCTGTAGGCTGCTTCAGGAATTTCCATTCTTCTTCTAGCTTGCTCAAAGTGCATGGTTCAGCTGGCTGGTTAGGGTCGCTACAGTCCCACAGGGGTTCGATACCCGGTTTCGGGACTCTTCTGGGTTTAGTGCTCCGAGCTCCTGCAAAGCTTGCAATGTCCCTAGCTCGTTCTTCTCCCAGTTCCCTTATTAGCACTTGTTTAAAAGCTTTAATTTTCTCATCCATGTGTAAAGCTGCCACTTGCAAAGCTAGGGTCTGCATGCCTGACATGGTGTGGATAAAATTTTCCGAGAGTTCCCTACATGTGTTAATAAACCACTTGGGGTAGGGGCAGTCTGCCGGCATTCCTGTCAGTAGGGCAGGGCTAAAGCCTATCTCTGGGATCACATCCATAGCATAGCAGTCCTGAATATAATTGGCTTTGGCGCTATATTTATCTTTCAATCTATAGTAACTTTTCAATGTGTTCAAAGCTTTCTGTTCCTTCTTGTCAAATGGCTTAATTGGTCTCCGACCTGATAACCCCTCTGGGAATGGGTCTACTGCTAGTTTAATGAACGTCAAGATACTTGGGTGTAGGGTGAAGGGTAGGTTATCCAATACTCCTTCTGTTAGGTCTAAAGTGGCTATTAGAGACCAAGTACCACATAGTACACTACCTTCATTGTGTGTTTTTAGTTTACCTCTGTGGGCGATGATCTCTCTGCATTGCTCCTCAGTGTTGTCTAGGGGATCTTCGTAGGGTAACCTGGGGTTCCAGGTGTGGTCCTCGTCCTCTGTTGTCACTGCTTTAAAACCTGCAATCCATGTTTCCAAAGCCCATAGAGGTGTATCCTCTACCCCACTTCTCCTCTCATTTTCCAGTGAGGCTAGATCGCTCATTGTAACAACACAGTTTTCTCAGGTTTGAATTAAACACACGGGTACTGTACGTGAACAAGGGCACAAACACAAGTCTTAGTTGGTCTAGTAACTCTAGGCGACGCGTTTCTTCCCCGTGGGGATTCTTCAGGCCCTTGGTCTAGCCTCTGTCGACTTGTGTGCTCTACTGTTTATTCAGAATGGGTGCCGGGGTTTATATGCCCTCGGCTCAGTACAAGGTGTGGTGCCAAATATGACTACATGCTTAGTCTCACAATGTATGGGTGCATAAATACATATAATACAAGTTTTCAGTACAATATTTGTCATATAAATTTTCAATGCTTTTTCTACATGTTCATACAATATTATTATTATTATTATTATAATCAAGGGGGAAGCGCTAAACCCGGAGGATTATACAGCGCCTCGGGGGGGGGGGGTGAATGTGGAAGGCATTCAGGCTTAATTCGGGGAACTGGAGCACAGATCCAATTCCCTAAATCAAGAGCCCCTCACCAACATCAAGGAACCTTCCTTGAGGGGTGTTCATACAATAGAAATTTTCTGGTGATACAAATTTACAGTACAAAGTTGTCATACAAATTTCCAATACTTTTTCTATATGTTTAACAATACATAGTTTTCAAAGAGGGTATACAAATCCAGCCGAGTCTCACAGGTACAAGTCCTAAATTTGGTGTACTTCTAGTGTTATCCCAGGTTTCGCAGTTGCAGCAAGAGTAGGTTAGGTTAAGTGCTTACTGTACATAATGCTTCTCAAAGCCTGAGGGTCTGTACCTCGAAAAAAATCCAAAATGTGGAGTGATAATGATTCCCGACCAGAAAATCCAGTGCCGAGTCCTGTGTGTACATATCCTATTTTCAGTGCAAACCTAGGGTATGTACTCGGGGCACGGGTAGGTTAGGTTAGGTTCTGACTGGGTTTCTACTCTTTCTTTACTCTATATATAGGGGTGGGCAAAACAATATGAAGTTCAACGATGAGAAATTTCAATTACTCAGATATGGTAAACATGAGGAAATTAAATCTTCATCAGAGTACAAAACAAATTCTGGCCACAAAACAGAGCGAAACACCAACGTCAAAGACCTGGGAGTGATCATGTCGGAGGATCTCACCTTCAAGGACCATAACACTGTATCAATCGCATCTGCTAGAAAAATGACAGGATGGATAATGAGAACCTTCAAAACTAGGGAGGCCAAGCCCATGATGACACTCTTCAGGTCACTTGTTCTATCTAGGCTGGAATATTGCTGCACACTAACAGCACCTTTCAAGGCAGGTGAAATTGCCGACCTAGAAAATGTACAGAGAACTTTCACGGCGCGCATAACGGAGATAAAACACCTCAATTATTGGGAGCGCTTGAGGTTCCTAAACCTGTATCCCCTGGAACGCAGGAGGGAGAGATACATGATTATATACACCTGGAAAATCCTAGAGGGACTAGTACCGAACTTGCACACGAAAATCACCCACTACGAAAGCAAAAGACTTGGCAGACGATGCACCATCCCCCCAATGAAAAGCAGGGGTGTCACTAGCACGTTAAGAGACCATACAATAAGTGTCAGGGGCCCGAGACTGTTCAACTGCCTCCCAGCACACATAAGGGGGATTACCAACAGACCCCTGGCAGTCTTCAAGCTGGCACTGGACAAGCACCTAAAGTCAGTTCCGGATCAGCCGGGCTGTGGCTCGTATGTTGGTTTGCGTGCAGCCAGCAGCAACAGCCTGGTTGATCAGGCTCTGATCCACCAGGAGGCCTGGTCTCAGACCGGGCCGCGGGGGCGTTGACCCCCGGAACTCTCTCCAGGTAAACTCCAGGTAGGCCTGTACACATACTTGTAGAAATAAATATTATTATTATTACTGGGTGCAACGACTGCCCAGATCTGGGCAGGTAATGGAAAGGAGATAAGTTTCCTCAAAATATGAAAAATATATTCGAAATTAGGTCAGGTAGACCCCATGGTTAAACCCTGACAAAGCCAAACGTCCATACCTTGTCTCTGGCTGAGTCAACAACAACAGATTTCTCCGAAGGTTATTCATATCGTCCCGACCAAGTGCCCAGTTGCTTATGATGAGGAAAAGCTTTCTGGGAAGAAAATAATTAAAATTCCTAACAGATGCTCCAGGCAGAGGTAGAGCGAGACATCTACTCTTTACGAAGGCTGGCGCAGAAGTGTGATCCAAAATGAATGGAAAGCGTGAGCTTTGTTTTTGTTGGGTTTAAAGGGCCACTGACAGCCGTTACCGTAACCTGTTGAGGGAGTTAAGACGGTCACAAACACCTCAACCGGTGTTGAGTTCTTTTTCTCGGTGTCCGGGAAGTTATCTTTCCAAAGCTGAGCAATGAAAGGAAAATGATCAAGCGTTTCCTCTGAAAACAGGAACTAGAAATACCCAATTATGTCAGCTGATGTCCTTTACGTAAGCTGATCAAGGCATCAACATTTCTACCTGAGTCAGTAGCTAGTTTAACACTGTACCTTTACAAATTAATAAAATTTGTATTTGTATTGTAAAATCTGGTCCGAGTACAGTGTTTCTTCCTCACGATGTGTGTCAGCATTTAGTTATTTCTTCTCCGGATAAATAAGTTTCCTCTACTTGACGATGCAGCACTGTATGACCCTTGTGGGTTTAGGGTTTAGTTTTGATTGTAGTAATAATAATAATCATCTACTTCACGATACTTGCAGTAAATTTTTTCATGACGGTTGTTATAGTTGTTGGGAGTTTTGAAGGTCACCGAAACTTACATCTTATTTGAGACTCGAGCTCAAATTCAAATTTTTATTATTTGCAAAGTTTACAATGTGTGACTGACATGTTATCAACTATATTATTGGTCATCATAATATTAATTATATTACT